GAAAACATTAACCATCTTCTTCAGGTGACACTGTCTTATACCTCACCCTGTCCAACAATGGCTGTACCTCCACTTGGCAAAAATAAAAAAATTTATATCTATAATTGTTTATTATTAATTACATTGAAAATATTTCTATGTCCAACATTGACTTTGAAAAAATTCTCAGGCTTGATACAATCCAACTCCACACAGGAGTAAAAAAGTCTAAGTCAACACAACAAAATAATCTAAGTCAATACAGGAGTAAAATAAACTGAGTCCACACAAGAATAAAATATTCTAAGTCCACACAAGAGTAAAAGGAACTAAGTCCACACAGGAACAAAATATTCTAAGTCCATACAAGAGCAAACGAAACTATGTCCACACAAGAGTAACAAAAACTAAGTCCACACAAGAACAAAAGATTCTAAGTCCACACAAGAGTAAAAAACAATCTAAAGTCAATACAATAACAAAGATTCTAAGTCCACACAAAGTAAAAGAAACTAAGTCCACACAGGAACAAAAAATATTCTAAGTCCATACAAGACCAAACGAAACTGTCCATACAAGAGCAAAAAGATTCTAAGTCCACACAAGAGTAAAAGAAACTGAGTCCACACAAGAACTAAATGAACTGAGTCCACAAACAATTTAAGTCCACACAAGAACAAAAATAAACTAAGTCCACACAGGAGTAACAGAAACTAAGTCCACACAGGAACAAAGATTCTAAGTCCACACAAGAGTAAAAGAAACTATGTCCACACAGGAACAAAGATTCTAAGTCACACAAGAGTAAAAGAGAAACTAAGTCCACACAGGAACAAAGATTCTAAGTCCACACAAGAGTAAAAACTATGTCCACAGGAACAAAAAGATTCTAAGTCCACACAAAGAGTAAAAAGAAACTAAGTCCACACAGGAACAAAAAGATTCTAAGTCCACACAAGAGTAAAAGAAAACCCACACACAGGAACAAAAGATTCTAAGTCCACACAGAGAACAAAAATTCTAAGTCCACACACAAAAGAGTCCACACAAGAGTAAAAAAACTAAGTCACACAGGAACAAAGATTCTAAGTCCACACAAAAGATACTAAGTCAATACAATAACAAAAGATTCTAAGTCCACACAAGAGTAAAAGAAACTAAGTCCACACAGGAACAAAATATTCTAAGTCCATACAAGAGCAAACGAAACTATGTCCATACAAGAGCAAAAGATTCTAAGTCCACACAAGAGTAAAAGATTCTAAGTCCACACAAGAGTAAAAGAAACTGAGTCCACACAAGAACTAAATGAACTGAGTCCACAAACAATTCTAAGTCAACACAAGAACAAAATATACTGAGTCCACACAGGAGTAAAAGAAACTGAGTCCACACAAGAACAAAATAAACTAAGTCCACACAGGAGTAACAGAAACTAAGTCAATACAAGAACAAAAGATTCTAAGTCAACACAAGAGTAAACGAAACTAAATCAATACAACAACAAAAGATTCTAAGTCCACACAAGAGTAAAAGATTCTAAGTCAATACAATAACAAAAGATTCTAAGTCCACACAAGAACCAAAGAAACTGAGTCCACACAAGAACAAAGGATTCTAAGTCCACACAAGACTAAAACAATCTAAGTCAATACAATAACAAAAGATTCTAAGTCCACACAAGAATAAACGAAACTGACTCCACACAGGAGTAAAAGAAACTAAGTCCACACAAGAACAAAGGATTCTAAGTCCACACAAGACTAAAACAATCTAAGTCAATACAATAACAAAAGATTCTAAGTCCACACAAGAACAAAATAAACTGACTCCACACAGGAGTAAAAGAAACTAAGTCCACACAAGAACAAAAGATTCTAAGTCAACACAAGAGTAAAAGAAACTGAGTCCACACAAGAACTAAATGAACCGAGTCCACACAAGAACTAAATGAACCGAGTCCACACAAGAACTAAATGAACCGAGTCCACACAAGAACCAAAGATTCTAAATCCACACAAGAACCAAAGAAACTGAGTACACACAAGAACAAAGGATTCTAAGTCCACACAAGACTAAAACAATCTAAGTCAATACAATAACACAAGATTCTAAGTCCACACAAGAGTAAACAAAACTGTCCACACAAGAACAAAAGATTCTAAGTCCACACAGGAATAACAGAAACTAAGTCAATACAAGAACAAAATATTCTAAGTCAACACAAGACTAAAACAATCCAAGTCAACACAAGAACAAAAGATTCTAAGTCAACACAAAAGTAAAACAATCTAAGTCCACACAAGAGTAAAATATCTAAGTCCACACAAGAACAAAAGAAACTAAATCCACACAAGAACAAAAGATTCTAAGTCCACACAAGAACAAAACATTCTAAGACAACACAAGAGTAAAAGAAACGAAATCCACACAAGAACAAAATAATCTAATTCAACACAACAACAAAAGATTCTAAGTCAACACATGAACAAAAGAATCTAAGTCAATACAAGACCAAAAAATTCTAACTCCACACATAACAAAAATAAACTAAGTCCACACGAATTAAATGTAAGTCCTCCCGAGGATAAACGAAACTAATCTAAGTCCACGAGAACAAAGGATTCTAAATACACACAAGGATAAAAATATTCAAAGTCCACAAAAGAACAATATTTAAGGTCCACAAACATAACAGATTCTAAGTGCACAACATTAAAATACTACATCACACAAGATTCATATATTCTAAGTCCACATAATTAAACTATTCTAAGTCAACAACAATAAATGATTCAAACTCCACACAAAAATACAAAATTCTAAGACCACAACAATAATATATTCAAAGACAACAAAAATAAAACATTACAAGTCAACAACAATTATACATTCTCGGACATCAACGACAATATAATCTAACACAACAACAACAACAATAAAAGATTACAAGTCCACACAAGAGTAAAAGATTCTAAATCCACACAGTACTAAAAAATTCCAAGTCAACACAACAACAAAATAATCTAAGTCCACACGAGGATACAAAATTACAACTCCAAAACATTAATATATTATAATTTAACACACAAACAAAATCTTCTCAGTCCACAACAATAAAAGATATCATTCCACAACAATAATATATTCTATATCCAAAACATTAAAACATTCAAATTCTTAAAATTAATATATTCAAAGTCCACAACAACAAATCATTCACACAACATCAAAAGATTATAAGTAAGTCCACAAAAAAAAACATTCAAATTTCACAAGTGACCATACAACAAACTCTTCCAAGTCAACAACAAAATAGTCAAAATCCACAACAATATAATAATCCAAATCTACAACAATAACATATTCTGTCCAAAACATTCTAACTAACTCCAAAAGAAGATTCAAACTCAACAACAATAATATATTCTATGTCCACATCAACTAAACATTCAAACAATAATATATTCTGTATCCACAACATTAACACATTCAAAGTCCACACAAATTCAAAATATTCTACACTAACTAAGTCAACATAAATAATTTATTCCAAACTCAACATTCAAACTAACTCCACAACAATTAACTATTCAAATTACACAACAACAAAACACAAACATTTCAAAGTCAAAAAATAAACATACAATATATTCAAACTCCACACAACAACAATATATTCAAACTCCACAACTAACAAATATATATTCCAATTCCACAAACTATCACACACAAAATCAACAACATGCACACCATAACAATAAACACTAATCAAAATCAACAAATATTAAATATCTTATAATATATTGCCCGTGTCGGAGTCCCCGGGACTCGTCGACGACGCGTCGCACGGTCCGAATGCGACGACGATTCGGACCGCCTCCACTTACGTCACTTTTCGTACACTTTTCTCTTACGATGCGTATTACCTTTGTGCTCTCCGCGGACTCCTCCCTCCGTCGTTAACTTTCAATTTCTGTCGCCGATTCCACAAATCCATTCCTAATAAATTCCACCAATTTTTTTTTTCCCCATCTACCGACCCCCGTAATAACTTTAACGCTATTTCTTCAACATAAATTTATTCGGTCTCCACAAATTCAACACTATAAACTTACATTATTTACATTAAAAAGATTCACACTCAAAACATCACTACAAACCAAATTTGGATCCGGCCCACACTCTCCGTAGAGCTATCTCCACAAATTACGTTATACAAATATCTTACGATTCAAAACGTCATTCGCTTTCTATAAACATTAAAAAAATCAATAACGTCACTAACTCGTTACAAAATTCTATTATTTTTCTCGATAACATTTATTTACACTATATAAACTTACATTACACCTATTCCAACCAATATCAAAAAATTAATCACTATTTCATACTACATAACATTTATCAAACATTTTAGTCACAAACAAATTATACAACTCCAATATTACCTTACACATTAACAATCAAACTATTACAATTAAAATCTACATTTTACAACTTCGACAAACACAAAATACCATTACGGAGTCGCCCACAAAATAACGTAAAGGCAAAAATGCGACGACGTGCGATGACTCCACGACGGACGATTACGATCGCAGACTGTACCAAAACAAACGCATAATGACAAAACAAAAATAAAACGCAACATAAAATACTATCGATACTGACACCACAAGAAACGCACATACAAAATTAAACAGATACGGTGATTTCTGCTATAGCACGATTTATGAATTAGGAACAATATTTGTATAACGCTAACGCTTGTTTGCTATAACGCGATTTTGGCATACTATTTCTCCAATTTTGTAGTATTAATTGTGAATATGGTAAAGAAGAATATCTCCAAGAAGCGTTCTGGTGATAGAATTCCCGGTGATGATCGTAAAAGAAAGGATATAACACTTGAAGAGAAGCTCGATGTTATCAACCTCAAAATCACCCTTCTCCCCCATCAAGTAAAGTATTACATTTACTGTATGATTTCATTATTAGATATGAATGTAACATTTATTTACACTGTGCTATCCTTTGTGTTAAGCTAACTACTAAATTTTTTCGATTTCAAGTAATCTGCACCTAACCCGATCTACCGCGCCGCCGTCTTACGCTCGACGTTACGTACACTACTCGCCGCAAAACTAAACAATATACTTCACTACATAGTTTCAATATTAATTTACAAACAAATGACGCACTCCAAACATTTGCCGCACGGCACTACCGGGAATCTCGCATTTCCTGCCGAACGCGCCGCTTTCTCCGACCCCCCCAAAAATATACCCCCGCGTCCTCGCGACATTTCTACGTGCAAAACGCTTTTCGAACGCTCTTAACTACAAATCTATACAATATGCTCGTCAATAACGCTATTACGACAAATACTAATATTTTCCCACTCCCTTCAAACTCTACAACATTATTGGGTCTCCTCTCACTCACCCGACACGATGTCGGACGGAAGCGACACGGACAAAATGTGCCACTCGAAATATGTTCGATAAACAACAAAACTAACATTGAACGTTTTTTTTTTTACTTGCACTCGTCCCATTATGGCCCTTCCGCATTGCGTTACGTTACGTGACGTTTCCGATGACGAAACGCCAACGTGTGGCTCGTTTAAAACCGGCAGTCAAACAAAAATACGGACGTGGACCCCTCCTCGACGGATCGACTCCGATTTCGCCCCCCGCCCGCAACTTTATTTCGTACGATGTCGGGACGTCTTGACGCTAAAACGGTACCGTCTGCTATTAATTATGTCTTCCATAAATAAACAATATTCAGTTAAAAATGACAGTCCTTTCCTCAGTACTGCCATATTACAATTGTCACTCACATTACTCTCATTACCAATAAAATCTTCTCTATTCATTATTTAATAATACGACGGGCGTCCGATCGGGGTCTTCTCGTCTCGCCGCGAGGAAACCCATTAAAATATATCACCTCGTCCCTTCCCGATTTCGACCTCGCCTTTTTTTTTCCTACAGCCAACAATTTCTGCACACACATTGGAAATGACTCCCCCCCCCAAAATATTCTATTCCGCCCGACAGAGATCGTGACGTATCGCTTTAACCGAACCGTGACTGTGCGCGAATACTTTCCCAAATACTCCCTGCTAAAATGAGCCTTCCAAATTATGTGGTCTCGTGTGCCCTCAAATATTTTACAATTTTTACGCGTTTCCTGCATTCCCCGAAATATACCGACGATCGGCTAATCCGCCTATTAGTAATCTCCATTCTTAGCATTATTGCCGACGTCGACGAGGCTCGCGTACGATAGCGCATTACGGTTATTATTCGCGCGCCTTCGTTCCCAAATTACTCTGCGCGTTGCCCACGCACACAAACGCCCTCTCCCCCACCCCGTTCGTCCCCCACTTCCCTTACAGCGCTCCGTTCACAAATATTGCAATTAAACATATTAACGTCGACATTACAAGCACATAACAATACGATGTCGATGGACTACTTCTTCCGCCTCGCGGGTATCTTGGTCCGGCGTCGAGAACTGTCTTCGTCGCGTCTCGAGTGGTGTCCTCGTCCAAAGAGCTCAAAATTACAGCTGTAGTATCTACCTCCAATGATGTCTCTAACTTACATCACATCACTGACACATCTGAAACAAACAAATTCGGTCAAAATATTTCAAACATTAATACTGCAAATTAGACAAAAACACATCTTCATTCTCCGCACGCCTACCGACGCGAGCCCGAGAAAAACGCGCATCCGCCGCAAATTACGCGCTGCGATACTCCGTTGCCCCGCGACGGTATCCGCCGCCAATTACTTGCACTTCACACGCCCCTCCCCCCCCCTTCCAGACGACGACGACGCGCCGATGCACGACGTCCGTGCCGCCTCCAATGATACGCGATTCCAAAAATCGACGAATGCCCTTTCGGCTAATAATAAACCGCGGCAAAATTACATTCGACGCCGCAGTGACGTTAAACTGTCGTCGTCGTCGACGCGAGGAGGCATCCCAAACGAGACGATGCACAATACCCTTCCGAGTGACCGATCGACATACTTATTTACTCGACCGACGCCGCCTGCACTTCCCGCGTACGACGCGAGCCGCTCCTCCGTGTCCGACGTGCCGCTCGCTACTCGCTTACTTCGAAACCGCATTCAAAACGTTACGCTAAATGCACGGGTACTACGCACTCTTCGGACGTGCTATCGACGACACGACTCGCCGACCGACCGCGACAAAACAATTAGACCGCGCATAAAACGGCTTCAATTACGCCACACTGACCGACTCCCTAATAAATAAAAACGCCACCCAAAAATACAAATGTCATTCACCTCCTATGGGATACTAACAAATCACTCGACATTCTAGCAAAAACGTCTAAAATATAAAATCGTATAGTTCAATTTTCCTTTCCTATTATAGGCTAAACACCTTTCCACAAATCTTATAAACAACAACCATTTTGGGCTGTAGGCGGTGACGCCACGGCCGGTCTGCGTCGAACCGGACGATTCGTATTACGCTCCGCACCCTCGAAACGTGCGACGCGCCGGCGAGTTAGCCCTGGGCACCGTCGCGTCTTCCCTGGCTTAGCTACCGTCCATTTTCTCCAAATTCCCAAAACGGATCTCTCTCTCTCTCTATAAACTAAATTGCAATGTCGCACAAAACGCCGCCGTTTTCCGTCGACTCGGATGTGTCTCGCTACGTACGAGATGGAGGGAGGAAGAAGTGGAAGGAGAGAGGGAGGGATGAAGAGGTGGTAGGAACGAAAGATGGTATGTGGAGGGAGAGACAAACAGATGGTAATTAGAGAGAGGGGAAAGTGCTACATGAAGGTTGGAACAAAGGAAGGGAGGAAAGGGAAAATGGTACGTGGAGGATACAACGGAGTAAAGAGAGGAGGGAGGGAAAACCGGTACATGGAGGGCGGAAGAGAGAGGTGCTGTATAGAGGAAGGGAGATGTAATATGTGGACACACAGAGAAATGATAGGTGGAAAGAAAGAGAGGTGGTAGATGGAGGGAGGAAAGGACAAGTGCAAGGTGGAAGGAGGGGAGATAGGTACAACAAAGAACAGGTGGTGTGTGAAAAGAACGAGGGAAAAAGGATAGGTGCAACTTGTAGGGAGGGAAAGGTGGGAGGCAGAAGTGGTAAGTGGAAGAGAAGAGAGGTAATTAGTAGTAGGAGGGTAAACAAGGTGTCTACTGGCCACACAAAACAAAATTCCCTAATTTCTCAACGTCTCTCACGCATGTAAATTGGAAACACTACAACTACATTAATTCCCTATTTATTACAACAACATTACAAATTCTAAAAATATCTTTTTACTATTGGTCACTATAAAGATGATAATTCCCACTAGCAATCAGACTGACTATTTTATTTAACGAGCTACGATCGAGATGATTATTAAGCCTCGGGGTTCTTACGATTTAAATCGGAGTACAAAAATCGCGATTTAAATCAAAATGATTTTTTTTACTAATAACTGTTTTCTCTTTTTATTCTACATGATTGAAAAGTATATGCAATGCAGCAGGCTGATAACATTATTTGGATTTACGCAGTTATGTGCCGTACTGTGGTCCGTTCTCTCCGGGTTGGCGAAACTTTGATCGTATTCGCCCTTCCGAACGGTGGAGCACGAAGAGTTTGTCGAGATGATTAAAATGCTAACGCCGGGATGTGTTTCGCCTAATACGCATCAAATTGGAGGGTCTCTTTTGGATCGAGCATACGATTCGGCGATTAAAAACTATTCGGAAGAACTCGGTGGGAAAACGGTTTGCACGAGCCCACGGTGCGTGCGGCTTTAACGGCGGACGACCGGGTTTATCTCGTCGACTCTACGGACGCAGAATCGAGACGCGAGGCTAAATATCTGTTGAAATTAGCTAAATGTGCTACAAAAAAGTGTCAAGACAAATTTGCATGCACAGTAAGCAGCTGTCTAACAGATAATGCTACTAAAATGGCAAAAATGACGAGTGAATTCGGACAAGATAAATCCATTATAACGTACGATCGCTCTGCACACCTGTTAAATTTCCTTTCCCAAGACCTGCAAATCAAGAACATTAAGGACCACATTACTGAAATCATTAAGTACTTCAGAGATCATCACATCCCAGGATCTTTGTATAGAAGACCAGAAAAAATAATGCTAGTAATGCCATCGGACACGCGATGGAACGCAGTGACGGATTCTATTGAATCTTAATTAAAGAACTGGCAGTGTACAAAGAAAATACTGAAGACATTGATAAGAACATTGAAAGGAAAGTTAATGATAACACATTAAAAATAACTGCACAAGACTATTTAGAGAGACTTAAGCCTATTGCTGTGGCATTGGACTGTATCCAGTGATGCTGTAGAAATCGGGTTAAAACTGAAAACTGATATTGAGGAGTATTTAACACATAAGAAGGATATGGATAATTTGGAAAAAACAATCAAAGTAGCATTGACACCTGCCCATTTTCTAGCTAATGTGATATATCCGAGGTGTCGGGGCAGACGTACGACTCCTGAGCGGCGAGACGTTGCAGAGCGGCGCGTGTGCGAGTCTCTTCCGCATTTCCTTTCGACATTAATGTCCTTCCGTGAAACGAGTGCACCGTTTAAAGAGGTCTATTTTGGTAAAGATGTTGTAAAATCTCTCTCGCCCCTTGCTTGGTGGCAGTATTTTGCCAATGATATGACAGAAAATGTAATGGATGTTCCTAGGCAATTATTTACAGCTGTTGCATCATCAGCAGGGGTCGAGAGAATTTTTTCCACACGCGGATTTGTACACTCGAAGGTAAGAAATCGCCTAGGACGGGAAAAGCCATCTGGGCTTGCCACGGTATACGTACGAGCATTTCAATGTTCGGACGAGCTAATTTAAATGTTTTGAACTATTTTTGTTCTTTACAGAATGAAAATATTGTGTCGACTTCGAGTTATTACCGGTAATTCTTAAACTTGTTACCGGTATTATTTTTTTTACAAAATGAGAATATTATTCTGTTGACTTCAACAAGTTGTTATTAATTTTGGAAACACTGTAATCCTATAAGAGCATTTACGGTGATCCCTCGGTTAACGGGCGCCTCGGTTAACGAGATTTCGATTGACGATTTACCTTCCGTGAGATTCTTAACTTCCGTTAACGACCGATCCCTCGATTGACGAGTCTTTTACGAGCCGACTTCGACGTGTTTCGCTTGCATTTGGCGGTCCACCATCTGTAGTATTAGTCCGCCAATACAGTAATTGGTTTTAGGGCTTAAATTCCTTACTATTTTAGTAAATATCAAGAAGTTTATATTATTCAATACTTTTAAAAGTTTAATATTAACTTTTTTAGTCATTTTAACAATTATTGAACATAATTGAAGGTAAAGAAACTAGTTTCTGGCATGCCATCCAACCTGTTAACACACCAGACAGGCGTTAGTCTCTCTCTGTTTTCAGTGGAGGTAACATCTTATTTGAGACTCTCTTCAACTAAACGCTTTTTTCTGTGTTTCCAAGCAAATTATTAGTCATTTTGAATTTTATTTTACATATTGACAATATATAATACAGTGCAGAGTTGATTTAAAGAAAATAATCTTGAATTACACCAAGAGAACTAAAATTTTAAGGGTGAAATGGTGCCATGGGGTGACTTCTCTTCCACCCCAATGCCTTCTCTTCTCCCTTCTCCTCCACCCCCATTCTAATTCCCATCATCATCATCTAGGAGCCTTCTAAATACAACACCTCAAAGTAAGTGTACTTTTCTACCTTTTTTTGTTGAATTTAAACAATTTTCGGTGAGCTGGAACCCATTGAAACGATGGTTTCGGTTAACGAGCAACCTGCCGGAACGGATTGTGCTCCTTAACCGAGGGACCGCTGTATGTTAAATTTCATTATTACGTTTGGATTTGTGCACTCAAATGTAAGATATGTTACCAGTTTTCTATTATTTTACAAAAAGAATATGATTATGTTAAATTCCATTGGTACATCTACTACATAAATATCTTAATGCCAATTTTCTGTTTATTATCCTGAATAAGCTTTGGTTGAAAAATACTGTTTTTATGGTTTAAAAATACTATTTTAATGCAATTAGCAAAAAAATCAAATAAATCGATTTAAATAAAAAAAAACAATTTAAATCAAACAAGTCAATTTTTTTAAACTTTTTTAACAAATCATGATTTTTTTTCCAACCCTCTTAAGCCTACATTATACACCTTGACCCTTCTCCGCGTGTTTTTCCTCGGATTTGCACAATTCACGTGGGTTGACCCAAACGTCCTCCCCCCAAAAAATAATTCCGACAAAATCAAAAAAATGACACTCCCGAAACACCTGTGTGACTCTTAAGAAATATGTACAATAACCCACTTGAGTAAAGGAACTTAATTATAAGAACAACTCATCTCTACCAATATTCATTGCACAATTAGTTGGTATAACCTGTAATATTTGCTTACTTCATCCCTAACATCAAATATGATACTTACAAACAAATCAGTTATTCAAGTGCACTATTTACTGCAATGTGTTCTCAAAACTTTAATTATTTACAGCATTAATTTATGCTAACATTGCTGCCAAAACACAATATTTTCAACATGAACTAAATTCATAGCTAAATATACATATATTTACAACATTCCTTGACTTTTCCAGGTTTTCCACACCATTGGACACCCGGGAGAGGTAGTCGACGGTAGATGAACATTACTACCGTTAAATTATTTCGACTACTCGACGCGTCGCCGGTGTTACCTGCCCTTGCGGATGGACGCGACGAGGCCGACCGCCGCCGTGACCCGGCTTTCCCGACTCGTGAGTCTCGTCCGAGACGTTGGGAAGTCGCCCTCGCCGGTAATCGTCTGTAAATGCAACGGTCCGTTAGTCGCGGCAATAATGCACAATTGCCGTACTGGGTCTGCATTACCTTTCGTACGAAACCGCTGCCGTGCACATTTTCCCCTTTTCGAAGGACACCCACACAAAAAAAAATATTCGTACATACGGTACAATATATTCATCAAATAACCTGTTTCTCTTTAACAACCTCTACTGTATGGAGACAGCTTTCGTCTTCTCCAGTGCTGGAGCACATCGTCGTCGGGCAAGTCTTAGGCTTCTTACTTATCGAAATAAACTACGGTACAAATACGCGCGTGCAGTCAAATACGCTCCAGATGTCCCGCATTTCACTCGCTACGGCTAGAGCGGACCGCGACGCCTCGAAGACCGAACGCTATTTGCAAAATTTAACCTGCACAAACAAATATTTTTTATGCTAATATACTGTACAACTACAGTACCACCAACACAATTTCTTATCCCCATTCAATAATAAAGACGAAAACCAACTAATATTCAAATGCTATTTAACACTTCTAAATGTGGCCTTACAAACACAACACCACCTCCACTAACACACAATTCATTCTATATTATTCTCATTTTCTTTCATCTCTCATCTTCACATCCGATGCAGGGAGATGGATATTGTCGTACGTGTGTCTAGTCAGTACGCTATACAGTGACCCCTCAGTTAGCGAACTCGATCCGTTCCAGAAGGTCGTTCGTTAACCGAAACCATTGTTTCAATGGGTTTTTGGGTAATTGGTTCCAGCTCACCGAAAATTGCCTAAATTCAACAAAAATGGTAGAAAAGTTCACTTACTTTGAGGTGTGTATGTAGAAGGCTCCTGGATGATGATGATGGGATTTAGAATGGGGGTGGAGGAGAAGGAAGAAGAGAAGGCATTGGGGTGGAAGAGAAGTCACCCCATGGTGCCATTTCACCCATAAAATTTTAGCTCTTGGTGTAATTCAAGATTATTTTCTTTAAATCAACACTGCACTGCATTGTATATTGTCAATATATAAAATATATTTCAAAATGACCAATAATTTGCTTGGAAACACAGAAAAAAAGCGTTTAGTTGAAGAGAGTCTCAAGCAAGATGTTACCTCCAGTGAAAACAGAGAGAGACTAACGCCTGTTTGCTGTGTTAATAGGCTGGATGCCGTGCATTAAACTAGTCACTTCAATTATGTTCAATAATTGTTAAAATGACTAAAAAATTGAATATTAAACTTTTAAAATTATTGAATAGTATAAACTTCTTGATATTTACTAAAATAGTAAGGAATTTAAGCCCTAGAACCGATTAATGTATTGGCGGACTGACACTAAAGTTGGTTGCCCGGTCAGTGCAAGCGAAAACATGTTGAGGTCGGTTTGTAAGAACTTCGTTACCCGAATTTTTTTTTCGTTAACCGAATTGAAGATCCTTATGGAAGGCAGTTCGTTAATCGAAATTACGTTAACCGAGGTGTTCGTTAAACGAGGGGTCGCTGCACTGCATTTGTATGGAGTTTGATCGAGTCGTTCTCGACGTTTTAAAAATTGCGGAGCTCGAAAAACTTTACGGCCGTACCGACGACTCCTCCGAGTCGTGCGTCCCGTTAAGACGGGTCGTGTCGTTAGAGCCACTTCCCTACTTTATAGTAATGCAAAACACACTTCAACTGAAAAGGAGGCACCAAATCACAGCTTCACATGATAATGGGAGTGTTATGCACCAATTACAACAAATGAGTTAGAAGGGGTGGGGTGGTAGGAAAGAGAGAGCTCCAAGGTGGAATGATTAATGGGTAATATGTGGACGAAGGGAAGGGACGAAAGGAAGGGTGGTATGTGGAGGGTGGCAAAGATGGTAGGTGGAAGGAGAGGAAAGTCCAAGGTGCAAAAAAGGAGGGAGGGAGGAGGGAGAGAGAAGCTGAAGGTGGAAAGAGGGAGAAGTGCTACATGGAAGGAAGAAAAGAAAGAAATAAAGAAAGAAAGAAAGAAGGAAAATAAAGAAGAAAGGAAGGGAGGGAGGGAGGGAGGGGAGAAAAAAAGTTGGAAGGAGGTACAGGCGGAAGGAAGAGGCAGAAGAATGGATGGAGGGGAGGGGAGGGAGAGAAACAAGTGAAAGGTGGAGGGAGATAAAGGTGGGAGGCAGGGAGAAGCAAAAACTAGAAGGAGAGAGAAGTGAATGAAGAAGGGATGAAGAGGTGGTAAGTGGAGGGAGTGGGGGTGGTAGATGGATGGAGGGAGGGAGGGTGGGTGGGAGAGATGGAGGAAGGAAGGGAGGGAGAGGTGGAAGGTGGAGGATGGTAAAGGTTGAACGAGAACCAGAAAGTGGAGGGAGGGAGAGGTAGGGATCAAGAGGTGGAAGATAGAAGAAAGAGGAGGTGGTACATGAAGGGAGACAGAATGGTAGATGGAGAGAGACAAAAAGTGGAGGGAGGGAGAAAAGGATAGTATGTAGAGGGAAGAAGGTAAAGGTGGTAAATGGTGAGAAGGGAAAATGGTAGGTGGAAGGAGGGAAGGAAGGAAAAGAGGAAGGGAAGGTGAAATGGTAGGACAAAAGTGGAGGGAGAGGTGATATATGGACAGAGGTAGAAATGATAGGTGGAGGGAGGGAGAGAGAGAGACGTGATACATGAAGGGAAGGAGAGACAGAACGTAGAGGGAGGGAGAGGTGGTACATGGAAAAAGAGAGGTGGAGAGAGAGAGAGAGGGGTAGGAGGAGGGAAGGATGGTATGTGGAGGGAGAGAAAGGTGCTAGATAAAACAAGGGAAAGAGAGCTGGTAGATGGAGGGAAGGAGAGGTGGAAGAAGAGAGGGAGGGGAGATAAGTAGAACGAACGAGAGGTGGTATGTGGAAGCTGGAGGGAAGAAGGGAGAGGTGATAGGTGGAACTTGGAGGGAGGGAAACGTGGTAGACAGTGGTGGTAGGAAGGAGAGGTAATTGGTAGTAGGAGGGAGAGCAAGGTGTCTACTGGCCACACAAATCGAAATTCATTAATTTTTTCACATTTCTCACATGTAAATATGATAAATTACGGATACATTCATTCCCAAATCGTTACCACAAAATAACAGCATTCAAATTTTTCAACATTATTCATTTACTATTGAGAAATATAAACAAGATAATTGCCACTAGCTATTAGACTGACTATTTTATTTAACAAACTACGATCAATATGATTATTAAGCTTACATTTTAAGGCAAACACCTTGACCCCTCTCCACATCTTTTTCCTCAGATTTACACAATGCGAGTGGGTCGACCCAAACGTTCCCCCCACCCAAAAAAAATCGAACAAAATCCAAAAAATAGCACTCCGGAAACCCATCGTGAGACTCTCGACAAAAATGTACAATAAACGTCTTAAATCAAGTAACTAAATTATAACAACTCATCTATGACAATACTCATTGCCCAATTATAGTACAGAACTTGGTATAACCTGTAATATTGGGTTATTTCATCACTAACATCAAATGTGATACTTACAAACAAGTCAGTTATTCAAGTGGACTATTTAATGAAATGTCTTCTCAAAAGTTTAATTATTTACCTATTATATAGTGCATCATTCATTTATGCTAACATTGCTGTCAAAATAACAATATTTTCAATATGAACTTAATTCATATAAAATTATAGCAATATTTACAAAATTCCGACTTTTCCAGACCAATACACACCCTGGAGACTAGTTGGTGATAGGTGAACATTACTACCATTAAATAATTTCAACTACTTGACACGTCACCGGTTTTCCCTACCCTTACGGACGGACGCGGCGAAGCCGACCTCCGCAGAGACGACCACCGCCGTCGCCTGCGTTTCCCGACTTGCGAGTCTTGTCCGATGTGTTGTGGAGTCGCCCTTCCAACAATCGTCTGTAAATGCAATCGTCCATTAATGTACTAGTTGTACTCGAGAAATATTCCCGGGAATAATACAAAAATACTGTACGAGGTCTGCATTAATTTTCGTGCGAACCGACCGGCACGACGACCGTGTACGTTTTTCCCTTTTCGAAGGGACACGCACAAAAAAAAAATATATTCATACATACAGTACAATATAATCATCAAATAACCTGTTAATCTTTAACATCCTCTACTGTATGGAGAGAGCTTTCGTCTTCTCCAGTGCTGGAGCACATCGTCGTCGGGCAAATTATATGCTTCTTACTTATTGAAAAAACTACGGTACAAATACTCGCGTGCCGTGAAATACGCTCAAATGTCCCGCATTTCACTCGCTACGGCGGACCGCGACGCCTCGACGACCGAACGCTATTTGCAAAATTAAACCTGCAAAAACAAATAATTATTATGCTAATATACTGTACAACTACAGCACTACCAACAAAATTTCTTATCCCCATTCAATAATAAAGACGAACACCAACTGACATTCAAACGCTATTTAACACTTCTAAATGTTGCCTTACAAACACAACACCACCTCCACTAACACACTATTCATTCTATATTATTCTCATTCTCTTTCATCTCTCATCTTCACATCTGATGCAGGGAGGTGGATATTGTCGGACGTGTGTCTAGTCGATGCGCTATTGTAATGGTCATGATAAGAGCTAACCTGAAAACCTTAAGGATTCATATTACGCTCAAACGTCCACAAAACCTTCCGAGTCCCCCAGTGGAAACGTCCCCCGTTTTCTCTGTTTCCCCCGCCTTTGTCTATGGGAGCAGACGCTGTATGCTGGGACCTGTTGCCATCCATTCCTTTGTAATCAATTTAATTCTGCTTTCGATAGCTGAGTCAGAGCATTGTTAGTGAAGATAATAGTAGAGAATGAAAATGAGTTCATAGTCTCAATTTCAACGTCAGAGGGTACCGTAAATTAATTCATTGGAATAGGAGTAGCTGGACTCCCTGGCCTAGTTTGAGTGAGGGCGCCGCGGGCATTTTAACCGTTAGTAAGTGCCCGTCCCTTCATCCATACAGGTATGCCATTCCACGCTGTGTTGTAATTTGCCCTTCTTTAAGTGATTTGACCCAATTAATAGTTGATTGTGCAAGTGTTACAGTAACGTAGTTGATATGCTCTGAGTAAAGTCATATTTACGTCTTTAACGTCCCCTGAAACGTGTTGTTGTTGTCACCAGTTAGTAAGTGCCCGTCCCTTCATCCATACAGGTCCCTAACGCAGCCTAGGCCGTGTCTGTAGGGTGGATGTTGTATCCACTATGTCTGGGGACATGTCCGAGGTCCAGTAGGATCAGTTACCTTCGTGAGACCCGGCCGTCAGACACTTCAGACCACCTATAGCCCCCATAGCTGGCTCGTCTGGCCCTAACGCTCGGTCCACGAGGTGACCCGGGACCACCAAGCCACACACCACTACCAGCCCCCATCATTGGTGGATGAGTGTCTACCTCAGTAGGGCTATATTTGTGTGGTGGAATTAACCCACTGGGATCTCCAGAGTTCGTCAGATAGTACTCCATGGTGGCTGGACCCCATGGCTGTTGCTTGAGTATCACTCCTGACGACTGAGTGTTGTAGTGGCAGTTGCCTAGTATTTATGGTGCTAAGTGACTATCATAGTTGTGTTATTGAGTATGTCCACCCCGTAGGGTTGGAAGGGTATTGAATATGTCCACCCAGTAATGGTGTGAGTATGTTGAGCCTGAGGGCCTAGTAATAGATTTCGTCTGTTAGTACAAACCAATTCTTTCTTCTAATTTCATATTCATGTTTAAATAAACTTTGTATTTGTATAATTGTGTATATTATTTACCTACAGTATTTACCGTTATTTCTTCCCTATTGCTTGATACTATCATTACACCTACCCACGAGCCTCCTATCGTCACGCTACCAATGGTGATATATAAGAGTAAAAGGAATTGTTACTGGCACACAAGCCCTCATGAAGGGTGGCAGTAGCAGCCCTCATACTATACTGTATTTGTAGCTAGTTTGATCGAGTCGTTCTCGATGTTTTAAAAATTGCGAAGAGCTCCAAAAACTTACGGCTGTGCGGACGGCTACTCTGCACGATGCGTCCCGTTAACGCGGGAAATATCGTTATAGCCACTTCCCTACTTTATAGTAATGTAAAACACACTTCAGCTGAAAAGGAGGCACCAAATCAGAGCTTCACATGATAATGGGAGTGTTATGCACCAATTACAACAAATGAGTTAGAGGAGGTGGGCATTCTTAGGTGGTAGGAGAGAGAGAGAGAGCTCCTAGGTGGAATGATTAATGGGTAATATGTGGACGAAGGGAAGGGTGTATATGAAGGGACGAAAGGAAGGGTGTATATGAAGGGACGAAAGGAAGGGTGGTATGAGGAGGGAGGCAGGGAGAAGCGAAAACTAGAAGAAGAGAGAGGTGAATGACGAAGGGATAAACAGGTGGTAAGTGGAGGGAGAGGGAATTAGTAGACTTGATGAGTGGATGGATGGAGGGAGGGAGGAGGGGAGAGAGGAGGGAGGAGGGAGGGAGGGGGAGGAGGGAGGGAGGAGGGAGGAGGAGAGGTGGGTGGGTGGGAGAAGGAGGGTGGAAAATGGAGCTAGAGTAAAAAGGTGGAAGGATGGAGAGAGCCGAAAAGAGTGGAAGGAGAACCAGAAAGAGTGGAGGGAGGGAGAGTGAAAGGTGAAGGAATCAAGAATTGGGAATATAGATGGAAGGGAGGTGGTATGAAGGAGACCAGAATAGAAGCAGATGGAGAGAGACAAAAAAGTAGAGGGAGAAAAGGTGGTAAGTGGAGAGAAGGGAATATGGTAGGTGGAAGGAAGGAAGGAAAGAAGGAAGGAAGAGAGGGAGGGAAGGAGAAGTGGAAGGACAAAGGGAGAGAGGGAGGGTAGGAAGGACGGGGAGGGAGGAAGGGAGGGGGAAGGGAGAGGTGATATGTGGACAGAGGGAGAAATAATAGGTGGAGGGAGGGAGAGGTGGTACATGGAGGGAAAAAGAAGGGGAGAGAGGGAGGGGTAGAAGGAGGGAAGGGTGGTATGTGGAGAGAGAGAAAGGTGCTAGATAAAAGAAAGGGAAGAGAGCTGGTAGATGGAGGGAAGGAGAGGTGGAAGGAGGGAGGGAGGGGAGATATGGAGAAAGAAGGAGAGGTGGTATGTGGAAGCTGGAGGGAAAAAGGGAGGGAGAGAGGGAAACGTGGTAGACAGTGGTGGTAGGAAGGAGAGGTAATTGGTAGTAGGAGGGGGATAAAGTGTCGACTGGCCACACAAATCTAAATTCATTAATTTTTTTTCACGTTTCTTACATGTACATTTGAAAAATTACGGGTACATTCATTCCCTATTCGTTACCACAAAATAACAACATCATAGTTTTCAACATTATTCATTTACTATTGAGAAATATAAACAAGATAATTGCCACTAGCTATCAGACTGACTATTTTATTAAAGAAGCTACGATCAATATGATTATTAAGCCTACATTATAAGGCAAACACCTTGACCACCCCTCTCCACATCTTTTTCCTCAGATTTGCGCAATGCCTGTGGGTCGACCCAAACGTTCCCCCCCCCCCCAAAAGAAATCTAACAAAATCCAAAAAATAGCACTCATGAAACCCCTCGTGAGACTCTTAATAAATATGTACAATAAACCACTTAAATCAAGTAACTTAATTATAACAACAACTCATCTATGACAATATTCATTGCCCAATTATAGTACAGAACTTGGTATAACCTGTAATATTGGGTTATTTCATCACTAACATCAAATGTGATACTTACAAACAAGTCAGTTATTCAAGTGGACTATTTAATGAAATGTCTTCTCAAAAGTTTAATTATTTACCTATTATATAGTGCATCATTCATTTACGCTAACATTGCTGTCAAAATAACAATATTTTCAATATGAACTAAATTCATATAAAATTATAGCAATATTTACAAAATTCCCTGACTTTTCCAGACCAATACACACCCTGGAGACTAGTTGGTGATAGGTGAACATTACTACCATTAAATTATTTCAATTACTTGACACGTCACCGGTGTTACCTACCCTTACGGACGGACGCGACGACGCCGACCTCCGCAGAGACGACCGCCGCCGTCGCCTGCGTTTCCCGACTTGCGAGTCTTGTCCGAGGTGTTGCGCAGTCGCCCTTCCCGCAATCGTCTGTAAATGCAATCGTCCATTAATGTACTAGTCGTACTCAAAAAATATTCCCAGGAATATTACAAAAATACTGTACGAGGTCTGCATTAATTTTCGTGCAAACCGACCGGCACGACGACCGTGTACGTTTTGCCCTTTTCGAAGGGACACCCACAAAAAAAAAAAAAATATACATACAGTGCAATATAATCATCAAATAACCTGTTAATCTTTGACATCCTCACTGTACGGAGAGAACTGCTCTTCTCCAGTGCTGAGCACATCGTCACGGGCAAATTATATGCTTCATACTTATTGAAAAAACTACGTACAAATACTGCATGCCGTGAAATACTAAATAAACCAGATTTCACTCCAACGGATACGATGACCGCGATCACTGGCGCACGTAAAGCTATTTGAATTAACCTGCAAACACAAATAATTATTATGCTAATATACTGTACAACTACAGTACCAATCGACAACTTCTATCCCCATTTCAATATTAAAGACTAACACCAACTGACATTCAAACGCTTATTTAACACTTCTAAATGTTGCCTTATAAACACAACACCACCTCCACTAACACACACAATTCATTCTATATTATTTCATTTTCTATCTCTCATCTTCACATCTGATGCAGGAGATGGATATTGTCGGACGTGTGTCTATGAGTGTCATTACACTGTATTTGTAGCTAGTTTGATCGAGTAGATCTCGATGTTTTAAAAAATTGCGAAGAGCTCCAAAACTTACGCTGTGCGGATTTGCTACTTGCACCGATGTGTCCCGTTAACGCGAAATATCGTTATAGCCACATCCTACTTTATAGTAATGTAAAACACACTTCAGCTGAAAAGGAGGCACCAAATCAGAGCCACATGATAATGGGAGTGTTATGCACCAATTACAACAAATGAGTTAGAGGAGGTGGGCATTGTTAGGTGGTAGGAGGAGAGAGAGAGCCCTAGGTGGAATGATTAATGGGTAATATGTGGACGAAGGAAGGGTGTATATGAAGGACGAAAGGAAGGGTATATGAAGGACGAAAGGAAGGTGGTAAGGAGAAGGGAGGCAGATGGTAGGTGGAAGGAGGGAAAGTCCAAGGTGCAAAGGAGGGAGGGAGGGAGAGAGAAGCTGAAGGTGAAGAGGGAGAAGCTACATGGAAGGAAAAGAAAGAAAGAAAGGGAGGAGGGGAGAGAAAGAGGTGGAAGGAGAGGCAGAAGAGTGGATGGAGGCGACGGGAGAGAGGGGAGGGAGAGAGAGAAAGGTGGAAAGTGGAGGGAGATAAAGGTGGAAGGAGGGAGACATGGAGAAGCGAAAACTAGAAGGAGAGAGAGAGGTGAATGACGAAGGGATAAACAGGTGGTAAGTGGAGGGGAGGGGGGGGAAGATGGATGGAGGGAGGGAGGAAGAAGGAAGGATGGGAGGAGGAGGAGGGAGGGGAGGGAGGGAGGGAGGGGAGGGAGGGAGGGGGTAGATAGGATGGATGGATGGATGGAGGGAGGGAGGGAGGGAGGAGGAGGGAAGGGAGGGAGGGAGGAGGGAGGGAGGGGAGGGAGGGAGGAGGGAGAGGTGGGTGGTGGGAGAAGGAGAGGGGAAAATGGAGCAGGTAAAGGTGGAAGGATGGAGAGACGAAAGAGTGGAAGAGAACCAGAAAGTGGAGGGAGGGGAGAGGTAGAAGGTGAAGGAACTCAAGAGGTGGAATATAGATGGAAGGGGGGGTGGTACATGAAGGGAGACAGAATGGTAGATAGAGAGAGACAAAAAGTAGAGGGAGGAAGAAAAGGGTAGTATGTGGAGGGAAGGAGATAAAGGTGGTAAGTGGAGAGAAGGGAATATGGTAGGTGGAAGGAAGGAAGGAAAGAAGGAAGGAAGAGAGGGAGGGTAGGAAGAAGGGGGAGGGAGGAAGGGAGGGAGGGAGAAGGGAGAGGTGATATGTGGACAGAGGGAGAAATAATAGGTGGAGGGAGGGAGAGAAAGGTGATACATGAAGGGAAGTAGAGACAAAACGTAGAGGAAGGGAGAGGTGGTACATGGAGGGAAAAAAGAGGGGGATGGAGGGAGGGGTAGAAGGAGGGCAGGGTGGTATGTGGAGAGAGAAAAAGGTGCTAGATAAAACAAAGGAAGGAGAGCTGGTAGATGGAGGGAAGGAGAGGTGGAAGGAGGGAGGGAGGGGAGATATGGAGAAAGAAGGAGAGGTGGTATGTGGAAGCTGGGGGGAAAAAGGGAGGGAGAGAGGGAAACGTGGTAGACAGTGGTGGTAGGAAGGAGAGGTAATTGGTAGTAGGAGGGAGAGCAAGGTGTCGACTGGCCACACAAATCTAAATTCATTGATTTTTTTTCACGTTTCTCACATGTACATTTGAAAAATACAGGTACATTCATTCCCTATTCGTTACCACAAAATAACAACATTCAAATTTTTCAACATTATTCATTTACTATTGAGAAATATAAACAAGATAATTGCCACTAGCTATCGGACTGACTATTTTATTAAAGAAGCTACGATCAATATGATTATTAAGCCTACATTATAAGGCAAACACCTTGACCCGTCTCCACATCTTTTCCCTCAGATTTGCGCAATGCGCGTGGGTCGACCCAAACGTTCCCCCCCCCAAAAGAAATCTAACAAAATCCAAAAAATAGCAAAAGAAATCTAACAAAATCCAAAAAATAGCACTCATGAAACGCCTCGTGAGACTCTTGATAAATATATACAATAAACCACTTAAATCAAGTAACTTAATTATAACAACAACTCATCTATGACAATACTCATTGCCCAATTATAGTACAGAACTTGGTATAACCTGTAATATTGGGTTATTTCATCACTAACATCAAATGTGATACTTACAAACAAGTCAGTTATTGAAGTGGACTATTTAATGAAATGTCTTCTCAAAAGTTTAATTATTTACCTATTATATTGTGCATCATTCATTTATGCTAACATTGCTGTCAAAATAACAATATTTTCAATATGAACTAAATTCATATAAAATTATAGCAATATTTACAAAATTCCCTGACTTTTCCAGACCAATACACACCCTGGAGACTAGTTGGTGATAGGTGAACATTACTACCATTAAATTATTTCAACTACTTGACACGTCACCGGTGTTACCTACCCTTACGGACGGACGCGACGACGCCGACCTCCGCAGAGACGACCGCCGCCGTCGCCTGCGTTTCCCGACTTGCGAGTCTTGTCCGAGGTGTTGCGCAGTCGCCCTTCCCGCAGTCGTCTGTAAATGCAATCGTCCATTAATGTACTAGTCGTACTCAAAAAATATTCCCAGGAATATTACAAAAATACTGTACGAGGTCTGCATTAATTTTCGTGCAAACCGACCGGCACGACGACCGTGTACGTTTTGCCCTTTTCGAAGGGACACCCACAAAAAAAAAAAAAATATACATACAGTGCAATATAATCATCAAATAACCTGTTAATCTTTGACATCCTCTACTGTATGTTGGGAGTTTTCATCTTCTCAAGTGCTGGATCACATAGTCGTCGGGCAAGTTTTGTGCTTTTTACTCGATTAAAAACGCTACGATACGGATACGGACCTGCTACGAAATGCGGTTGAAGTGTCCCGCATTTCACTCGCTACGGTTTGAGCGGACCGCGATGCCTCGACGGCCGAACGCCATTTAGAAAATTTAACCTGCAAAAAAAATTACATTTTTTATGCTAATATACAAGTACAGTACTACTGAAAACAATTTCTTATCCCTATTCAATAATAACACCATCTGATATTGAAACACTGAATAACAGTTCTAAATGTTGCCTTACAAACACAACAGCAAATTCACTGACACACAATACATCAATCATAACAATTCAATAGTGCTATTTAGATGCATTCTTGGAGAATAATTTCAAAATAGATTCTACATTATTTTCATTTTCTTTCATCTGTCATCTTCACGTCTCGTGCGGGGACGTGGACGTCGTCGACGGTGCGTCTACTCTTTACGCTATATTTTTGTCGAGTCTGGTCGAGTCGTTCTCGACGGTTTAAACTTTACGGCCGTACCGACGACTCCTCTGCGTCGTGCGTCCCGTTAAGACGGGTCGTGTCGTTATAGCCACTTCCCTACTCTATAATACTGTAAAACACACTTCAACTGAAAAGGAGGCACCAAATGAGACCTTCACATGATAATGGGAGTGTAATGCACCAATTACAACAAATGAGTTACAAAGGGGATGAGCATTGCTAGGGAGACGGCGGAGGCGGGTGTACAAGAGAGGCGATCGCGTTAACTTTCGTTTGCCGTTTGTTTACTTGCCTTGCCTCAATTTTTTACCTTAATTGTACAACAATTTTGTTTGAAGTACCACAATTGTTAAATAACATAAGCAAGTTAGGTAATATGATTCATGAATGCTGGGAAAACAGGTAAAGGGAGTTGAGAGTTTCATTCAGCCTTTAGACTTACCATATAAGCCATTACTTTACATCATTGATAATATGCCTTAATTTTTTTTAAACTCCTTGTTCAGTATTTTGTATTTGCTATATTAACACAAGACTCACCACTATAGCCACACCCTCCTAGCCTTCCCCTACCACTCCAGGCCAAGCTGTGAACTATGTATAAAAATGATAATTACTTTGTACTTATTTACTCCTCGTTCCCAAAATGTAACTCCCCGGACGAGTGTGCTCTTTGGCGGAAACTATGATTTTCTGCTCGTTAAACAAAAACTAAAGTCGACCTGTTGTTCCATGACAATTTAATGACGACAATTCAAAATCCGGACGGAGAGATTCCCGAGTGCCTCGAGACGGACACAAACTCCCTCATCGCTCTCGAGGAGTGGCTCCGCCGGCACCGCACTTTCGACAATTTCTCCGCTGCACTTCGTCGTACTGCCGAAGGTTTCGATATTTCGGACTTACTCGCAAACTACGTCATTCCCCGGATATACCGCGACGTAGCCGAGCGCACGACGCGCCGTCTGCGCGCTCCAGAAACTCCGTCGAACCCCAAAATTTAATCTCCGCGAGGCACGTACTAGCCGCTGTTCCCCAAGAAACGGGCGAGACCCCGGATCGGCAATTACGAGTACCGTATTAAAATTCCTTGCCAGACGCTGTAATTTCAAATGCGTAACCGGTGCTCGGGCGTGTGACGATTACGTTAGAGATGCCCTCGTAAATGGCTCGGCCCGTCGTGCTATAAGATGGCGTCTCTTCCAAAATAAAACTTGGGATTTGCCTACTGCCTATGAGCAGACATTAAGCCTCGAAATGGCCCACGGACACTCGGCGTCATTTATACGACCCGCTTCTTTAGTTACCGCTGCAGTACGCGAGCCCCAGAAACTGCCCGATAAACCCTCGCCCACCCCTTGCGAGTCTGATTTACTGAAGGTTTTTCGGGAACACAACTGTACGACCTTCCTAATATTCCAAGTACAAAAACAATAACAAATCAAATACCACACAATACTTCACGTCCAGTTAACTCGAGGTCCAATTCACTCGACGTTCGGTTCCCTCGAGGTCGGGTTAGCTTCGGGTCTACTTCGCCGCAGATCCGGTTAACGTCCGACCCGCTTCGCTTCGGGTCCACTTCTGGCATTGACGGAGAGTGCCTGAAAATATCACTCGAGATAAAGTACGGCACTGTTACGATATAAAATTAAAATGTGTACAGAGTGGTAGTCTTCAGAACTATTTTAATAAAAGGTTAATTAACTGAACTGAAACATACAAGTAGAAAAAGGTATAAAAAGAAATAAAGTATTATAATTGATAAACAATGACGTTATAATTTGAAAACCAAGCTAAAACTTATTAATACACTTTAAAGAAAAACAAAATACACACATTCAAAAATTTTTATTCGACGGAAAAGGTGAATCGGGGCCACGTTTTGAGATGTCACGTACCACCGACACGACTTTAGACACAAAAACATTCACACGTGCACACTATGTCAATACTACTAAACAATTGCACATAAACACGATTAATAAACAACAACATGAAGTCGAGTAACAGACTAAGTCTACCTCCTATGGGTCGACACTGATTCGCCGGTTGCCGTCGCGTGCGAAATTGGACGGTCTGTACGGTAGAGTCCGAACTTGTCGCACTCGGATGTGTTGTTCGTCCTCGAAACTTCCTTCCTGGAAATGTGACCAATAGCTATATAATGCACAATACTGCATAACTATTATATTACAGGCAAGGATTATTTCGTCGGTATCCGACAGAATAACCGCTCGCTATTTGACCGGGATCTAAAATCAAACTAAATACTTTGGCCCACAGAAAACTCGACAATTAAATAATAGTGCAATGACTAGTTTAATGCCCACAATCATCCAGACTACACTCCCATTAAAATCGGCAACAATCCCAGCAGGTACCGGTCAAATAGCCGATGGTCATTTGGCCTGGAATCCGGATCAAATAACAACTTCGTATATGTATAATAATGGTTACTTATTTGTTTTATATCCCATGGAAAAATTAATTACTCAAATAGGCTTTTCAGTATTATTATCGTTTTGGTCGTGCAGTGTCGCTAGGTTAGGTTGATATTATGTTGTTCCAATGGATTTTAATGTAGCTTCTGACCTTTGGAAAATAGGTGCATGACCGAAACGATAATTTTACCTGTTTTTTTTTTCGTACTATTTTCTAATACATCGACATGACCTTTACTTCCTTCAACAACAATGAATCTTCCAAAGAAGGTTAGACTTTGAACAAAAAGTTAAAAAAAACAAACATTAAAACCCTACCTAACTTTTTGTGATACACGTGCCAAAAAATAATGATTCGGTATACCGTACACGGTTTCACACACAACCAATCGTGTTTACATTTCCTGGACATGACCAACATGGGTTGAAGCTACACCAACATTGATATTCTTATTGTGCAACTGAGGGAAACGCACTTTTGTGGAATTTAATATTTAAATCTCTTTCACTTCAATTGCACATAATCTGCTGTAACCAATCAGTGGGCGGTTCAAATATATTGGGGGATTTATGCATGCACAAACATTTTTTCTACGTGTATTCAAAGCCTCCCTCGTAAACTAAATGCTGAACACAAAATAGCACTCGCTACCAAAACATTGAAACCACAAAAAATAATTACTAAAATAACTTCATCTCGGATCACTAATTACCTGTGGGCAGGGCATGAAGGTTGAGGGTAAAACACGGGGAAAAGCTCATCGTATCACACTAAAATGATGTCTCTCTCTGCTTTAAAAGTATGCGAAGAAATTACTTATTACCGTAAACGCCCCTCCGAAAAATCTGCCGATTCGCCGCATCGCGTTTCTTTGTAACCGACCCTGAGTCCGAGAGTACTATCGCATCCACACAAAAGGCAACGCAAAATTACAACACGACACTTCAACAGAGTTACTTTCATTGGAACCAAATATCAAAATAAATACTCTGTTTAATATGGCACGTCCCGTCCCGTGTCGGAAGTTAGGTAAGGTTAGGTAGGTCTCTTTGGTTGGTTATAATAGATCAGATTATACAGTATTAGCTTCTAGTAAATGTCGCATCTTACAATAAATACTATATTGAAAATAACACCTGTGGAAAATGTGAACAAAATCAAACTACTCCTCTCAAAGACAAACCCCAAAGGATTCTACCAAATGTATCAAACAAACACGAGATAAGATTGACCAATACGGTCAGATACCGGCGAGCTAACCGATAACGACGGAGAAATGAGCAATAATCTCGATAAATATTTTTCAACGGTTTTCGCCACCGAAAATTTAAACATGATATCCGAGGCCCTGACTCTATTCAGAGATAGTGAAGAAAACAAATTAAGCGAGATAGTAGTGACTAGTAACGATGTTTATATCTAGCGCTTGTGAGACCTCACCTGGATTACGCAGTTCAGTTCTGGTCACCGTATTACAGAATGGATATAGAATCCTTGGAGAGAGAGTCCAGAGGAGAATGACAAGACTAATCCCAGGCATTAGGAACCTTGAGTACAGAGACAGGTTAAAGCGTCTTAATTTGCACTCCCTCGAGAGACGTAGAGTGAGGGGCGACCTGATAGAGGTGTATAAATGGAAGTCAGGGTTAAACAAAGGGGACATTACAGAGGTACTCAAACTATCTAGCCAGGAGCAAACTCGTAACAATGGTTTTAAATTAAGACATATTTAGATTTCGGCGTGAAATAGGTAAACACTGGTTCGGAAACAGAGTAGTGGATGAATGGAACAAATTACCAAATACCACCATTAACTCGAATATGCCGGATAGCTTCAAACATAGGTTGGATGCTTACATGAGCAATAGGGGTTGGGTATAAACGGGACTGCCCAGTATGGGTCAATAGGCCCGCTGCAGTTTCCTCCATTCTCATGTTCTTAATGGCTCTGACAGAAATGAAGGTCAGAAACATTAACACAAAATACACTAGGAAAAAATTTTTGGTATATCACTTGTTGCCACTAAACGAATCTCGAGAATTTTATAGTTACAGTCAGTAGTTTTGACAATTCTAACCACTTTTCATTAATGGCATTTCTGGCGCAAATTACGTTTAAGCGAGAAATTTAACATTTTATTATTTATGTTCGTATGTGGCGGTACACACCCTGATTAGGTTCAATGGTGTTTTTCCGATAGGTCTTTATGTTTTGAACACTCTCAACTTGATTTTTATAGCAAATATCTAAATTCTGAGATTGGGGGCGGTCCGACTAATTACCCAAATGTACCCAAATATAGCCTGAATGAAGTCAAATAATGGTCCTAGATAAATAAATCGGACTGCCAATCACTTCTCGACTAGTATTTGGTGTCAGAAAGTCACAAAAAATTGGAAAACTTACTTTAATCTGAATTAATAGATCGCGTGCATGTACCGACGGAGCGAGGAATTGCCCAAATGTAGCCGCAATAAAGTCAAATGATGGTCGTACAAGCGTAATTCGGGCTGTGAATCACTTCTCGATTATTATTTGGTGTCATAAAGTCCAAAAAAAATTGGTAAACTTAATTTAATCTGATTTGTGTTAGGTTAGGTTAGGTTAGATTAGATTAGGTTAGGTACATGCACTAGATCTATTAACTCATATTAAATTAAGTTTACCAATTTTTTTTGACTGTGACACCAAATACTAGTCGAGAAGTGATTGGCAGTCCGATTTATTCATCTAGGACCATTATTTGACTTCATTGCGGCTATATTTGGGTAATTAGTCGGACCCATTGGGGGGGGGAGGGCTTATATCAAACCTATTGACTTGTGACACAAATGTAGCTCAAATTCGTACATAACATAACAAAAACCATCGGAAAAACATAGATTCAATTTTGATTTCGTATAATAACCACAAGTGAAAATTTACAGATACTGCCACCACCTCCATGAACAACCCAACACAATGGATTAAAATAACCATTAAATACACTTAGTCACACCATAATAATAACCCAACAACTGCTCACTATTATTAATGATATATATCTTATATAATAATATTAATATATGTCTTACCGATGCCTCAGGCGAATATTTTCAGGGCTGTCAAGTAGTCGTACACCCTGACCGTCCTCCATCTTGGTTCTCTGTCTAGTGGCTGTTGGTGCTGGTGACGGATCCCAGAATAAACAGACGAGAAACTCTCCTCTGTACCCCCGTGATGAACGTTTAGTAGCGCTGTTAACTCCTAGATGGCGTTCACCTCCATATATCAACCTTTATTATCTTATTACTTTTTTAAGTTGAAAATATAAACCAACACTTAAATATTCATTTATTCACATCTTAATCAAACTATATTAGCATGTAATACGGTTCATAAAGATAAAATGAGTTTTTGGTGTGAAATAACTGAAAAACGTACAGAATTCAGGAATTTAACAAGAAAGAAAATGTGACTTCGTTCTTGGCCACTAAAGAAATTTTATAAATTGGGGGAACTAAAGAAAATTATAGATCAATTACATAACTGCAAACTTTGAAGTATTCTCACTATCTCTATAAACAATACTATGCGCTAGCAAAGCCTATATGTTGCTGATACTTACAGACTACCTGAAGTACTTAATAACTACCTGGTTTATTTAAAGGGTGTGAAACTTATATTTAGATTGTGTGTGTTAAGTTGAACCAATTTTATTGTTTCTTTTCTTTTACCAATACTTGTCACGATGTTGTCAAATAAAGCCACTGATAATAATCTGTAGTTTTCTTGACAGGATAAAGGCCGTTGCTTACACTGTTAAAAAGGCAAATAAATTCTATAGTATATTTACGAATGCATAGATGGAACCCAGCCAGACATATATTGAATACATTCATTTTATTACAAACCTTAAAGACTTTTCAAAATGTCAATACCCTAACTTAGTGAACATTACCTAGAGATTCAGATGTATATTTGTGTGAAATAAGTGACGAGTGTAGAGAAACTTAAAAATTCATAATTATTTTTTATCCATAATCTTTCAAATAAAATTCAATTGTTATATGGCTATTGAAGTTGGGATAAATATAGCATGACAATTTCTACGGCTTTCTAACGGCTGCCAGACACCACCGCCCGACTCTCATTAAAGCCGCTAATGGTTATTACGCCTGTTTGACCCCTTTGTAAAACCACATTCATTCATCTCTATAGTCATAAGTTAAAAAAATTATACATAGAAAAACAGTAACATCAGCAATAGCAAGGCGATAACCAAGACATACTGAAGTTTTATAGAAAAAATAAATAAAAATGAAATGTCTTAAACACTGGTAATTCGGTGGTTAGCCTAAAACCAAGCCCCCCCACCCCCCCCCACCCCCCCACCTCCCCCACCCAACGCTCGTCTTTAAATACTCCGAGGGCTGTGCCACAAGGTCAGTGCTGATCGTTACCACCGTTAGAACAGAGCTCCGTAACCCAAGGATATACTTGTCTTTTTTTCTTCAAATGCTGTTATTAATTCTTGATTTATATAGTTAAAGGTAAGTGTTGTTAATTTATTATATTTATTTTGATACAAATTTGTTATATATTTGTTATTTGGGATTTTCGTTTGTTGTTGTGACTTTAACATTCTGCTTATTTCAGACACTTGTGATCTACCTACAATTGAGATCTATGTGGTAACTACTAGCAATGTCTAAACGGTTGGATGAAGTCTGGTTTTTGGTCAAAACCAGATCTAGTCTGAACCCATTAAACCATCTACCTTCATCCAGTGTACGGCGAAGGACGAACCTTGTTGAAAGTGTGATAAAATTCGGGAAACATTAAATTAATATTTTGTACGAGTCGGAACTTTTAAGGATGTTTGATTTTGTTTAAAAAACTAAATTGTAAACATAACATGGCTGATTTTCTTCCCACCCTACAACAGGTAATTTTGTGGATTCAACCGATCACGGCTTAAGTATTTAGTAGTGTCGTAACGATGTTATAGACCTTAACCTAACGTATCTCTCTTTAATGACATGAGTAGTGTACCAGGTTATTTATGTTAAGCATCCTTTAACCCTATCGATTTTCTTTAAGGTTTATGTCGAAGCTAACTATTCAGTAGTTCCCTCGCTAAATCATTAATTACGCTGGGAGAAAACTCCCAATCCTCTAGCCCAACCAATATTAAGTATTAACTTACGAAATTCTTTAACAATCAAACTATAACCTCATAAGGACAGGATAGTATGCTCTTCCCACCCACCTATGCCATTCTCTGCTGGGATTTAGTTATAATAATTGAAAACACAATATTTTTATAACCAAGAAATAGATATGTCATGTAAATTGATTGTGGATTAAGGTAGGCTACGTTCACCCCAACAAAAGTGTAACCAAACAAGTAATCATTTGACTAGATTCCGTTCACAGAAGTCGAGTCACTTTTGTCGGTATCCTGGCAGATAACAAGCGGTATAAACCTTCTCTAACGGCCTATAAAGCAATTGTGAATTCAGTGGCGTAGGAGGATGTCGAACCGGGTTTGGGTGCATAAACTCTAAACCAGTTTAGTGCCTTGTCATGTTTAGGGACTTGCTGAATCACCCAGGCATATTCTACTAGTTTCTTCATAACGACAATGGTAAACTAGATGAAAATGGTTAAAATGTCATTATCTGAAAAAAAGACATTAAACATGCTATTGGAGTTGAAAGAATAGCCATATTTTTAAGGTAAGCTCTGTATTAGAGTTGAAACCTACTGTTGAACTAGGCAACACTTGAAGGTTAACCTTGACAAATTATGATTTAGGAAAAATATTCAGATACAGCTCAATGGATTCGCAATAATTGACGAAAAAATGGGGGCGGACTGTATTCATGACTTGACTAGACGCCCTTGGTGTGAATACTTTGTTAAATTACAAATGATGTCTTCTTCATTCGAGAGTCAAGACTCGATGCGACTTGGTTCATAAAATGCATATATTAAAACCAAACCTCAATTCAACAAAGTAAATATTCACGGGAGAGGTCAGCAGTTCCCCTTGTCTGGCCACTGAGATATGTCTGCCGCACACCTACACGTTCCCCAACCACTTGGTGCCTGTACTGGTAACTCCTGAATCTGTAAGCGGTAGCATTTATAGAACAGTCCACTTATACTGCAGATATTTGAGCTCCATTAGCCAACACGGAAAAGTTCACTCGTCTTGGGTGGTAAGATTCACAGGGTTTAACTGCTAATCTTGGTACTGTACTGCATTATTTCTATTACTACATATCTTATTACCCTAATACAACTGTACCACTACAGCACCCTCCTCCACTGCTAGTACTCTTACCACCACTACTACTACTACTATACTCATTGCAGTACTACCACGACAGTAATAAACTCCCCACCACCATTACTGTACCTTTTTATAATTGCTTTTTATTTTCATTTTTACGTAACTATACACGATGAAAGGAGTTATACAAATACTATGTTCTTGTTTAACCCTTTACTAATATTCGTCACTCCACGAGATATATCTCTCTACAGTAATATACCTCAGTACCCTCAGTAGGTCCCTACACAAAGGGATAAAAGATACAGCCGGGATATACCAGGTAACACTATATATATATATATATATATATATATATATATATATATATATTATATATATATATATAATTTATTTTTTTTATTTTTTTATTGGGCACCCCCCTACATCCTTGTGTAAGGTGAAGCGCAGAAGCGTTTACAGCGCCCAACAGGGAAGCATGCTAAGTTCATGCTTGCCTTATGTCTCATGAGTTAAGGGCGTAGAAGCCTGAAGAGTCAATGGTTTATGTTTAAGCAAATTATTGGAAGCTCCAACAACTTGTCCCTGAATACAAATTCGCAACTTTCGATTTATAGCAGGTACCTACTTTGCTGCTAGGTGAACAGAGACCAAGGGGGACTAGGAAGAGTGTCCAAACAACTTCCGCTGGCCTGGGAATCGAACCGGCGACGTCTTGTTTGCGAGGCAAGAGCGGTACCGCTCCGCCGGCGCCCCCCGTTAAGGGGTATAGGGAGGGTAAAGCAGTTTTAATGGGTATAGGAGGTACAGATGTGCCTATCAACTAACAAAGAGGTGTGTCAAGTGTATATATTAAATACACTCGACACAAAACACCGTCACAAATACGTATACTGTACTATATTCTTCAATCCAACATTTTATATTGTTGCACATCAAATCCTCACATAATGCTGGAGGAGGAGTAAGAGGGGGGAGGTTCGGGAACGGTTGGTGGAGGAGACGTGTAAGAGAAGTTAGGTATGGAACAGCAGGTCTTAGTGCATGAGGAACATTTGCTGCAGGAGGTAGTATTAGTGGAGGAGGAGGTGTTAGTAGAAGAGGTGGTGTTGGTGTTAAAGAGAGAGAGTTGTTAGTATAGGAGAAGGTGTTAGAAGAGGAGGGGGTGTTAGTATAGGAGGAGGTGTTAGTATAGGAGGAGGTGTAGTATAGGAGGGGGTGTAGTATAGTAGGAGGTATTAGTATAGTAAGAGGTATTAAGATAGTAGGAGGTATTAGTATAGGAGTTGGTGTTACTGGAGGAGGTGGAGGAGTGGCTATTCGGCTGTTTTGGGTGTCGTCTCGAAATAGAGTTACCGGATATAAATAATTCTAACGTTAGTTAAGAGGAACCGTATTAACTATACTGTAGTGTACGCTGTGTATCTAACATACGTACTCTACACTATCTTTCTATTTACTCTTCGCCACTGGTCAGCTCTAGCCAGATGGGTGGTTGGGTATTTGTTACACACTTGGCAAGTACGGATAGCCACTGAGCATGTACTGTACGACATCTACAATGTGCCTTGGTCGAGTCTGCTGGTCTTACGAGCTCGCCCTCGGTGCTATTACTACATTCTCTGGCAGGTTAATCACAGATCACAACTCGCTACAAACACGTTTACCCTGGAAATATCCAGTACTTTTGGCTTCTTTGAGTCATAAATTATAGTGGAGTGGCTATCACCTAGCTCCAGAAATGAATGCTTAACTATGAAATGTCCTTATTAACTGCTTATGAACTTCTATTAAATCATTCCTTGCCCATCTATAATTACAAACTAGGCAGTTGAAGCTGTTCTTACTTCAAATGGGCCTCCTGTACACATTACAAACCAACTGCCAGTCTTTAATATATATGTAACCAATGAAAATGACAGTACAGTGTAGTACTGTTTTATGAAGGACAGATCATCTACTATAGGTATGTGAATGATCTTCATATAAATATCACTATGATAATTTTTAAGATTTGACATACAGTATTATGCTGGTCAGACTTGACAGCCTGTCTATCTTACATTTTCAATCTATCTACCTATCCAATGTGTAAATGGGTAGCTTATAGCTAGTAGTGACTATGAAGGCAGTCACTCTGCATAACAAATAAAGCCTGCAAGACCAACCCAGTGGCATGCTTATAAGATATTAGTTATTCTTTGATTTGTTAATTTTTTCTTACGGGGAATAGCCCACCCGGGCACGGGTAGTTGACCCACAACGGGTCCTAGGGGGGCGAAAAAATAAGGGTTAAAAAGAAATTAAAACTTATTCTTTCTTGTTTACAGTAACATTAATCACAGGAGCCCACAATGTGTGCTTGGAGGCTACAAACACCAGCACTCAACACTTATTAGATTACAGATTTAAAGATTGTTCAGGACTGATTCTTGTGCTGGTGTTGGTGCTGCTGGTGATGTTGGTGCTGTGGTGATGATGATGATGCTGCTGCTGCTGCTGGTGGTGATGTTGGTGCTGCTGGTGATGTTGCTTTTGTTGCTGCTGGGGTTAAGGGTTGAGGATGGTGTGTAGAGGTGAAGTGTAGGTTCAGGATGGCAAGTGGAGTTATGGGTTGAGGTAGGGTGTGCATGTAGAGGGTGGGAGTGGCTGGCTGGCTGGGTGCAGAGGTGGAGTGGATGTTGAGGGTGGAGGTAGAGTTTGAGTGTGGGACATTTTGTATGCATAACACTTTGATGCTACATACTAACATTCTTAAAGATTTTCCCACATCATCATAATAATGTAAATAAGCCCCACGGGGCAGGGTTCCAAAGGTCGGTGCCGACCTATCCGTCGGCACTCGCCTCTCTCGCGCAGTGGCAGAGATTGCCACGGACTTTCGTCTCTTAGGCGCTCTGGACGCGGGCTCGCGGCTCTAAATCTGACCGTTGGGTGTGGTTTGGAGGTGGAAGCTGAGGGTAGGGTGTGGAAGTTGAGGGCGAGGTGTGCAAGTTGATGATGGAGTGTAGAGGTATGAACACGATAACTAATGTCACGTGCAATTGTCTTTACCTCGGTTCGCACGCGGAGGTCAATTAAACACGCGGGAACATCATAGCCGCTTTTATTTGTTAATTCTAAGCAATAGTCAAATATTAAGAATTGATTAAGGAGCAAACAACCTGACCATGATTTATCCACTTCAAAACTAAATTAAAAACTCAATTGATTGCAACATAAAGTAATGTAGCTAAGAAGTGTCTCAGCCACAAGTACAGAGAATAAGGCATCAATGTAATTAATAACAAGCATAACAACTGGAAAACAGGTTCATAAAATCTAGATCTATAGCATTCTGACTTTGATATATCTATGATATGTACACATATGGTCACTTGAGTCAGCATTCGAAGGCTGATTTAACATTGGTAGATTGTGACGGCCCTTCACTAAAAGAAGAAACTAAATGAAAACAAGTAATTGGCTTCATTGAATGACACTTTTAACTTTAATTGGGGTACTTATCACATTTAGGGTTTTTCATTTTGCACCATTGACACATGACTACAACGCTTATGCTCATTTTATATGCAAGCTGAAAAAGAAGTTTTATGATACATCATCTATACAAATTTGTCTAACCACACAACTTGAAACCGAATCCCGTTTTTGATTCGGACGTTCGCCGCTACGTTGACGCGGAGCGGTTCGTCGGCGGTCCCGAGATGTGACGTCCCGTTCGTTTCTCCTTACCCGAATAGTGCACGGTCGATTTGAGCGAGAGACGTGCTAATTTTTCTTTCTTCCAAAGGATGATGTACAGAATAATCTATCAGGAGCGTATAAAAACTGATATGGATGTAACGCAGGACGAAACATAAATTAGCACGTCCTCGCTTCCTAGAATTAACATTACATATATTAGAATTGCCAGAGTAAAAAAATTTCCCATTTTCGTCTTGGCCGTTTCTTCCCCCGCCTGCGGCCCACAGCTTCGGCCAAACGTCGGTAGTTACACAGCCTTGGACTCCCCGGTACGAGAAGCGTCGGAATCCTCGTCGTCCTCATCGCTAGGCGAGTCGCTCTCCCCCTCGTGGGTCATTGTGGCCACCAGAGTGCCAACTGCCTTCCCCAGGTCGCCTGTAACAATATTTTTGAAAATTAAATTACACCCAATATTGAGAGAAATGCATGCTAATCATTATGATCAAGTTATATACCCACTGTTAGTACACGTGCAACACACTCTTAGAACGAGAGAACTCACCATCCCGAGCCTCTACTGTATGGGGCTGCATGTTTAAAGAAAAAAATATATAGATTTAATTCTTAATTTTACTTTTCATTTTTTTTATCTGTCATTCATGAGGCTACACTTCTATAAATAACTTCAAAATCAATTTTACTGTCTTAAATCACAATTAACTTCATTTGTTTTTACAATGTAGTACTTTAAAGTTAATGTACTATCTTAATTTTTTTAGATTTAATGCTTGGCACTGAGAAAAAATTGCCTTTTCTGATATTCCTCTCAATATAAAAAAGACCTCTCCCCATCAACCGGACAACACGGTCTTTCTATTCCGTCGCTGTAAATGCCGGGGTAATCTTCCGGTTGGCTGGAATCTCCGGTCCGCAGAACTCTCCGATAGCTGGAATGAATGTTGAACCTTCCGGGATAACTCTCTCCGTTATGGGCGCGAAACCGGTTTCCGAGGTCGAAATCGCTCGCGTTTCTCGGAAAAATTCGGAGAAAATCTCTCCGTTCCCAGCGTGGAAGCAAATAATTTTCGGGGAGTTATCGGAGATTGTGCCGTGCTCCGACGCGTCCGCGCGTTCCTTGCGTCGAGGGTGTGTGGGTGGGCCGGTTGCTTGGGTAACGTAGGCCGTGGGCTCGCGCGCTTAGTTTGTGCTGCCGTTGTGCGAGGTCTTTCCCTCGTCGAGTTTGCGCAAATTGGCGTTGTGCAGTACTGTACATTACTGTACCGGGAAACACTCGGCCCAAAATACAGCGTTAAGACATAAAAAGTGATTACAGTTGTGTACATTTGCTAGAGTGGACAGTGTTGCTTACTGTAGGCTAGTGTATAGGTGTGTACATTCCATCCTGCTACAGTAGATGGTAGAGGACACAGGTAGGCCATCCTGTATCATCATATTACCATTTGGCCTGCCTGCATCGCAACCTCAAGACGGCAGCATCTGCTGGCGAGTACGGTACGGGGGGGTCCCCGGGTTACGAACGGGATCCGTTCCCGAGGACGTTCGCAAGTCGGGTACGCGTGCCGTGTGCGTACCGTACTTACAAAACAACGTTTAAAATCTCACTATATTATAGCCCAAGTCTTTATATACTGTACATCTAAAATCACTTAATTTTAGACAAAAGAAGAAATAGAATAACAAAATACGGTAAATGAAAGTAAAAATAAGTCGTCGAGTAAATGAAATACTGTAAATTTCAAGTATAACCCAGTTCCTATCGGCATTCGTTCGTAAGTCGGGGACTTTCCGTAGTAATGTACAGTACCGACATTATTTTGTTTATTTACATTATATTGTACGTATACAACAGTGTTTGTGTAAATAAATACAGTGACCCCTCGGTTAACGAACTCAATCCATTCCAGAAGGTCGTTCGTTAACCGAAACCATTGTTTCAATGGGTTTTTGGGTAATTGGTTCCAGCTCACCGAAAATTTCCTAAATTCAACAAAAATGGTAGAAAAGTTCACTTATTTTGAGGTGTGTATGTAGAAGGCTCCTGGATGATGATGATGATGGGAATTAGAATGGGGGTGGAGGAGAAGGAAGAAGAAAAGGCTTTGGGGTGGAAGAGAAGTCACCCCATGGCACCATTTCATCCATAAAATTTTAGTTCTCTTGGTGTATTTCAAGATTATTTTCTTTAAATTAACACTGCACTGCATTATATATTGTCAATATGCAAAATAAATTTCAAAATTACCAATAATTTGCTTGGAAACACAGAAAAAAAGCGTTTAGTTGAGAAGAGTCTCAAGCAAGATGTTACCTCCACTGAAAACAGAGAGAGACTAATGCCTGTCTGGTGTGTTAACAGGCTGGATGGCATGCCAGAAACTAGTTTCTTTACCTTCAATTATGTTCAATAATTGTTAAAATGACTAAAAAAGTTAATATTAAACTTTTAAAATTATTGAATAGTATAAACTTCTTGATATTTACTAAAATAGTAAGGAATTTAAGCCCTAGAACCGATTAATGTATTGGCGGACTGATACTAAAGCTGGTTGCCCGGTGAGTGCAAGCGAAAACATTTTGAGCTCGGTTCGTAAGAAATTCGTTAACCGAATTTTTGTTCGTTAACCGAATTGAAGATCCTTATGGAAGGCAGTTCGTTAACCGAAATTTCGTTAACCGAGGCGTTCGTTAAACGAGGGGTCACTGTACAGCTCTCTGTCCGTTCGAGATGTGTACTTTTTACTCTCGGAAAACTTTCCCCAGTACGGGGGTGCAAAATCCCACGGTCGGTCGTCGCTGCTCCCTTCGTGCCAAGCGCCCCCAAAATCTCTCCGTTTCGTGGCCCGTATCGCGGATTTTTTGTATATACGTGTACTGTATAGATTTTTTGAACAAAGTTATAGATAAAGTATTCAATAATATTTTAGTAAAAAAAATGCCTTTCTAACTGAATTAGAATGATTTTATAAACTCCAGTACGAACGTTTCTAATGTTTTTTCGAAAAAGCCTCGAGTCGGCGTAGTGTCGCGTTGAAATATTGTACACTTTTATGCTAGCCGTAAACATTTTCGCTCGTGACTGCAGCCTAAATGCGACGGGAGAGCGTGTCTCGGTACGAGACGTGTAGTTTAGAATCTCGCAAACCTTTCCCGGCGAGTGGATGAATTCCGCTGGACGAGAAATTCGATGCATCGATGCCCGGGAATCTGCCGTTTGGAAGAACGCGTCGCCGATTAAGTGTATTCCGTGCTTCGGGGACGTCGCCGTATTTGTTAATTTGGCGGTTACGTACGCATTATGGCTCTTCTGATAATGCCAAATACTAAAAATACAAAATAAAAATTATTTTTGGGACACCGAATTTAGTCTACTACTAAATCTTTATAATTTCATCCATATTTACTCTATTTTGTGAAAATGTCCAGAGATCACCTCATTCTCATTTATCTAGCACAAAATAAAATAAGGGTCCGTGCAATGATTTGTTACAATTAAATTTTTTGCATAACAAAACACTACAATTAATCATATCATCATGCATGTTATTGTCTACAAATTCTTAACATACATTTCATGCTCACTTGACAAGTGTTTATCAAGCACTCAATTTATGACAATACAGGTAATTAAATAATTTGTACTTACTAGATTCTTACAAACAAAAAAAAGCTACACCTACAACATTATATTTCAATGCATTTCAATCCAGGCAATGTCAGTGCATTAATAATACATGGTCAATTAATCAATCCCCCACTACTGTGCATCTTCACAATCTCCCTCGTCTTACCTGGGATTGTAAAGGGTTCGTAGTAGATAAAACACTTAAGCGTCGTACACTAATCAACAGAAAAACAACAAATTATTTGAAAGTTCATTCTCAGAGTCAATTCCGATCATGCAGTGGTGCCAATTGTACCTGCACGTGAGAAGAGGTTCCCCACATGGGCCACACTTCCCATAGGAGGTGGTGGCGGTCGCACATACTCGCTCATTTGCTCTAACCCATCGTAAGCACTGCTGGCACCCACTGTGCCAACGCATCAGATAAAGAAATTCCAACACCGGGTTAGTACGATGCACTGTCATATTTTTATAAGGATACATCACTATGTAGAGACAAAACAGACACCCTCCATACAATATTTACAAACACTTTTCTGATCCTTTGTACTGTATTTAAGAAAAATCAATTAACTCTACAGAAAAAAAAGAAACTCGGTTTCCCATAAATCTTATTTCCGACTAATAAATGTAAGCGATTCTTACCTTGGTTTGAGTGTCCGTTGACTTTAGCGGGAGAATCCATGGCCAACTGACTAGCGGTGACCGACTTGGTCTGCAGAGTCCCCGACTTGTTGGGTGAACTCATGCCACCGGGCTGAAAATATTGCATCTTTCAATTCTTTTATTTGTACTAAACAGTATATGTATTTCTTTATGCAAGAAAATTTTCCAAAACTTCAAGACCGGTTTACTATCCACACGGAGTAACCGACGACTCGACCGTCTTCAGCGGCCTGCGGTACGAGACGAGTCTCGGTTTTAAAAATTATTACGTCAAATGCGTTTTCGTGCATTAGTCTCACCTCTCCTAATAGTTGCCGCAGTCGATGGAGTTGAGCCTCGAGCTGCCTGTTGTGCTCTTCCAAGATGCCCATTCGAGCCTCGAGGCGTCCCTTGTGCTGACGGAGAAGCTTTGCCTCTGCCAGCATTTCTGCTTCCGAACGCTGCCCGCCTAGACCGTCGTCGGGAGGAGATCCCACTGGTTGCTGAGATTTGAGGCGATCGTATTCTGCCTGAAGCACGCTATTCTCTTCCTCGAGTGCCCTGTTTATAATGAAAGGGTTTAGAAAAATTGACACTGCATTAAACCATCACACCTTTTCTCCACCGATCCGACCCGATTATTCTACGTTCTCTCTTCAAACACTGTACTCTTTGGCATTAAATTGTGGCTGTATGAAATTATTATTATTTTACTCGCCTGTTCCTATGAAATAAAAATGTTACTTTGGAGGTAAAGTACATACTGTACTAATTCTCAAAATGAGGAATCTGTGTTTGTAAATCACATACGTCTTTATGGTTTGGTATTCCAAAAACTACAAAAATATATACAGTTTATTCCTCTGTTAACATACTGTAATATCTTGCAAATTATTGTGCCAAGAGAAATTGTGTAATGTAGTGTTAGTAATAAACCCATAGGAAAAGACGAAACAAATATTGTGCACCGAGTACAGTACGGCAATATACTGTACCTGAACTGTATGTACACGTGAAGGATGGGAATGTATTTGTAAAGTCAATCAGGGGTTAGTAGTGAGAATGATAAGTCTGTAATATTAAAAGAGTAATGTAAAAATGCCCACGGGGTGAATACTTTCCGTAATTATTTCCTGTAGACGGGCGGTCTTTGATTACCTCGGGGAATTACCACGTTCCCTTGCGAGCGGCTGTTCCCACCTAGTGGGTTGGCGTTAGGAAGGGCATCCGCCCCATAAAACTTTGCTTGAACGTGCCTGATGGCAGCCGGGTTACCAGAACTGTGACCGGTCTTTGCTGCATTTTCTGGGCTGGTGCCCTGGGTTTATTGTTCTGGTTTTACCCAACATCTGCCATCAGATAATCAATGCAAACCCACACATTAATGAAGAGGAGGATGATGATGCTTAAGGTAAATAATATAATTATTAATGTAATTAAGTCAAATCTCAACAATCCAAAATTGAAAGTCCATAATGCTCAAGAATTTGCCCGGTTTCAGATTTAAAGTGAGCACCAAGATTCAAGCATAAGTTTGCCAGTCTGTCCTCTGGTGGTGTTTATTTTTATATAAACTGTTTGGTACACATTTCATTCTTAAAAAAAAATGGTTGCATAGAGATTAACTGTGTATGTGAATGATGGCATTTTGGTGAAATGTGTGGCTCTCTGCTATTGATAATCTTTTGGCAGTCAGAATGCAAACAGGTGCCTTCTAAAACTGCTCTCATTCTTCACCAGTTCAATTTCATTTTCACCCCTAATATAATAGATTTCCTTTGATTTTTTCGTCACGGAAGCACTCGTCACTCAAAACTCACTTTGACTCAAGATTGTAAAGGGTGCAACTGGTAAATCATGAAAAAACAGCAAAGTATATAAAGTCAATGTGACATGCGTATGAGGTGGATGGGACAGAACCGAGTACTGCATTGTCACGTGGAATCTAGGACGCATTCATTTATCGATTGTGTTCAACTGGAAAACATTGTGTTTTGTGAGGAGTATTCCCCAATTGGCTTTGTGTAAATACGAAATTGTGTTGTGCAAATGTTATGTTAACAGAGGATACCTGTACAGAATATGGAAAGATAAAAATTATACGATATAATTGGATATTCTAAAGATGTTTATAACATGCCTACATAATTACATTAATTTGCTGAATATTTCTGTATATCCTGCTAATGGATGGAATGAAAGTACTGTATGCTAGTATGAAAGGACAAGTTTAAATTGATTTGTATCCCTTATAAGTCTTCCCTTGAGAAGATTCAATACTTTCTTAAGGTTTTAAATTGAGGCTGTGGCTAATAAGCCATTACCGGTTGAATGACCCGGTAGTCGACGCAGCCGAGACGGCTACGCGCGGGGCTATTCGGCCGTCCTGACTGCGTGCGCCGTTTTACCGGTCCGTTAAATTTAGTGACGACCAATTAAATTATCAAAGCAAAGTGCACTATACCTATACAGTATATACTAAAATTCAAATTTAATTATTGGTTCTTTTATTTTTGCACCATTACATTTAAAAAATACTAAACATATGACCAACCTGATCATTTGCTCCAATTCGTCCTTTTGTTCGGCATCGACTGCAGCCATTATTTGCAATGGGGATCGTGGCACTGGCAGTGGGGCATCAGAAGAGCTAAGTGACTGACAGTACTGTGCAATCAACCCATGCTCATCCTCACTATAAAAATAAGTGCAAGTTTTTCAGTTTGGCGGACAATTATTTCTCAACAATTTTGTATACAGTACAGTATTACTATTTCACTTAATACAGTAATATACATTTTTTCATAAGAACTTCAAACGCCAAGTCCACACCTGTCGGGTGTAGAATTGGAGTTTGTTCTCAGTTCGACCTCGGCCAGCCGAGAAGCGTACAGCTCTAAACGCGAGTGCATATCTTGACTGGTGACATTGTGCTGTGGGGATGGTGAAGGTGACTCTAAAGGATCACCCTACACAAATATAAAAGTATTAATTACAATAGTAATTATCTACCATGAATGACAATGATGAAACATTACAAGCTATTTAATGTACAAATATACTGTACATTACGAGCATCAATACAGTACAGTTATACCATCTTTCCAAAGTTGATTATGAATGTCATGCAACAAATTTAAAAATAATCTTTGCGATATTATAAGGTAATTAAATTATGTTCAACACTCCGGTAGTACTGTACTGTACTTACAATCAGAACTTGCAAAAATATAAAGGCTCATATCTATAAAATGAACACTGAAACAACACAATACAGTATAGTCTTCTTACCTCCAATACAGTCTGAACTGGTAGGTAGCCCTTCTTTGTATGCTTCTGAAGAGATCGTTTTGATTTGAATTTATTCTTGAGGGCCTTAGTAAAATCTTTTACATCTTCACCAGCAGTTGTCTGGAAATGATTAAAAGATAATTTGTTAAGTTATGTTTTAAACAGTGATATTGAAAGTCATTTGTAAACCAAATTCATCTTTTATACAAATATTTTTCCTTAGTAATTTTTATACCGGTATTTCACAAACAAATTACATTAGTTCGGTATGAAGAGTAGAATACTCACAGCTGTACAATACTCGTGCATGGGATGCGTAATTTTATGGCTTTTGCCACTTCGACCGTCAAAGAAGCACCGTTGGCACATGTCAAAACTCAGGCACTTGAGACAACGATATCTCAGGCCCACGATTGGGTAAGCTTTGCAGATGTTGCATTTCACCTGGAAAATAAACAGTCTACTGTACTATACAAATCATTTTTTAACTTTTAGAATTTCCTTTAAACCCCCTGATATTTCAACAATGTTGTAATAAAAAAATTACCCTGCAATTGTTTTTCATGTTTCTGCACCACTGCCATTGAAAATAAATGATATATTGGACTGAAAATGTAAATATCATAAACTACAAACTTTTAATCACCTTATTTCTATCAACATATACATTTCTTAAATATTTTCTATTTTCTGTTTTTCTTTCTCTCCCATAGTTGTCACCATAAAAGAATCTCAAGGCTATCCTACCACTATAAATTTCTTTTGTCCACCATTCCCTCTATAATATTGTTCCAAAATAAAGGCTGCCTTCTATAACCAGCACACCCACTCCACACCACCATATCTCCTTTGCATTAATAACTCATGACACTGGGGCTATGGCAAAAGGTGTTTTCCACTTTGTACAGGGAAACTTAAAATTACATTCATACCTGATGCTGAATGCTCTCTGAGGCAGCAACACGGTGTAGCACAGCCAGCCAAACAAGGGATTGAGGTTCTTGCTGTACCCATGTCAGGAAGTGCACAGCCTAAAAAAAATATATATTTTTTTAACATCTTATTCAAACACAATTAACGTTTTTCTCATTTAAAAAAGTTTCCGGTGCTATACAGTATACCGTACATCATTGGTAGACCTACTGTATGTATAATTTTGGTAGAAACAAGAAGGAAACTATTGGTAGATACAGTGCAGTACTTATGAAATGTAGTGAAACTGGAGTACTGTATATTAAAGATAAACTATACTGACAATAAAAAAGAACAAGTACTAAGACCAGCTACAGCTATGACATATAAATTAATTTTATAGGATAAGGAAAAATGATAATATGTACAGTACTTAATAATCCGTTTGGGTATGGTGTCACCTTGGAGGTGAATAAAATTGGCTGGCAGTAACTGAGCCAAATGAAATATTACATGTGGCATCCCAGTAGTGATGGGGTTAACTAACTGTATAATTAGAAGTGAAGGGATTATGACAAAGATATTAATAAGAAAACTTAAGTCTTGGAGGGCCAAAGAAAGGCAGAGACTGGGATAGAAGAAGAACATTTAAGGTTGGATCCCCTACGAAAAAGTAAACTAAAAAAAAATAAATACCGTAAATAAAAAATAAAGGGCATGGCACCCTGAAGGTTCAATTTTTAAAGTGTACAAATATTTCCAATCTCATGTATTACATCTTATTTACAAACTCTACCTCAATTGTTTCCCTGTCTTTGCCAGCCTTAGTAAAGCAGCTGCGCACAGATGGTTCAATGTTGGATCCGCCAAAGGCAGCCACCTCCCCCAGCTGCCGAGGAACTTGCACGCAGTCGTGCAGCAAGAGACCCAGCTTCCTCTGGTCCACGAGGCGGTTAGGATCCGCAATCAGACGGAACATATCTGGAAAGTGGTTTTAGATTTTACCCAACTTCTATTAATATACCTTTTTAATCCTTAAACTGCTATCCATCACAATAGACAATGCAGCTTCACTGTTAGCCACGTCAATAGAAGTTTCATATTTTTGTGCCACTATTTAAACTCTGGGTGATGAACAGCAATAATTAGTTGGGTAGCCCCGAGTGGGTACCTCCTTCCGTTCTCAATCGGTGCTAAATTTTACTCGTGGATATCGGAGAGTTCCGGTTAAGAGGGATTCCTGCTTCTGGACATATTACTACCGTAGTCACTTTTTACATACTATTTTAATTATATTCATTCATTACCGTCATTTCAACTTTTTTGCCATAAATAATATAAGAATTCTTTGCATCACACAAAAAAGAAATGTAGACTATAAAGAGGAAGACATAGAACAAGCATGATGACAATACTGTACCACTCTGACCCTAAGACAGCAGAGAGTTATTAATCTCGGATATACTTACATCTGTACTTTTCTTCCAGGTGTCCCCTGCAGAGACATACGAGTCCAATCTTGAAAGACAGGACTCTCATCTGCCCTGTTCTCTGGCTATCATAAACATTTAGGAGCCAATTAAGACACAGGTCCATTGCCAGTGTCGTGTTGACGTCGGGATGATCGGCTGATATGTTGGCATAGAGGGCAGACAGCACCACTACCATGTCGCCGACGTCGATCAATCTGTCATTCTGGCCTCGTAAGCCGTGTTCGTCAAATATATCTGTGGCCATCTGCATTTTGGCACGATCCACTGCAAATGTAAAGAATTTTATTAAAAAGACTTAAAATTTTCTTACTAAAAATTTCAATGCCGATTTTTCATAAACATGAACTACATTACTACAGTACTAGTACTACTATTTCTACAAATAACTTACATGCTAGTTTCTTCTGGAGCATCCGGAGTTTTGTGGCCGTACGATAAGCCGAGAACTTGATGTGGTTAAACTCTGTGAGAGAGTCTAGCAAGTCCATCATGACAGGATGGTCCCAGTGTGTACTCTCCTGGTCATGGCTGAAATATTTGTGAATAAAAGCTTATTACCAGTACTTTACAACATGTACAGTTCCAAAATTTTTTTAACGAACATTTCCTAAATTCATATCAGAACTATGTTTGTTATATCCTTCTTATAGTGTGTCTCCAAATGAAGATACTGTATTAAGAGATTAGACCATTTGTTAAGTAGATATAACAACAATTGCACAAATCTGCACTTAAAACCTTATTTTTCAAGAATTAAAAGACTCCTTATTAATTTTAAAAATCTTTTCAGTATTTTTTCTTCCTTGTACAAAATGGTTACTACAGTATACAGTATTGTACTCAAGTTCTTTCACCCACTTGATGTAATAAGGCACTTTGTTGCTGGTGGTGGCTCTCTCCCAGGGTGGTGAGACTGAGGATGCCAGCTGGGCCGGGGTGAGTGGTGTAACCTCCCTCGACCTGCCAGCCACTTTCCGCCACCTATCGTTTACTGCCGTCTCCAATGTCTTCCATCTACGATCACGAAAGGATTTATACATACTAAAGTAGAAGTTGTGGACTTATACTCTCTTAATCTTTAAATAATCTCTAAATTAAAAATATTCCATTTAAATTAAAATTTCAATACTCTATTAAACAGTAAAACAGGAAATTTCCTTTTTACAACCGAGTTTTTATTTTTTTAATTCATTATTACAGTACAATTTCTTTGCCCCCACTCATTAAAATTATTGCAACATTATAAAGTATATTGACTAATTATTTCTTATTTTACCAAAGTCAAGCCTTAGTACTGTAATTATTTACAAAGTAAAATTGTTCCTACCTGTTATTGAGGTCATGAAGCTTGGCAGAGTTTGCTGGAGTCAGAGGTACATTGTGAGCAGAGAAGCGGGCAGCTTGATCATTGACGTCATCAATACCCCTTTGCAACTCGGCTAATCCTTCACGGAATTTCTGAAAAGAATACTAATTGTTAGTCTCTACATGTCTGCTTATTAGTTACCGATTCATTCTTGTTTTAATCCATACGAGTAATTACGAAAAGGAAAACAATAAATAAAAAAATCCATCTTGCAAAACATGCCAAATGTGCAACACCAAAGGTCAAAAGTAAAGCCAGCAACAATTACAACCTGTACTCTGTGTCTTCATGATACAGGTACGGTACAGTGTAAGTATCTACATGTTAAATTTTAATCAAGAGAGATAAATAGTACCTAAGCATACAGAATGCTGTATCTAAGAAAAATATACCTGTTAATTCCTTACTGTGAATTGTTTAGAGCCAAAACAACTGATCCATTTTTTGATGGACTACTCTACTTGTACAGTTCCTCGTACGTATATGAATTACACATGGGGGTTTGCCATAACAATGAGACCTAACTCAAGAGCTAAGCTTTCATAATACACACTGGATTTAATAATAAAAAAACAAAAAACAAACAATATGTTGTCTGTGTGAAGGCCTGGCATCAAACAGATTGATATAGGATAGGTACTGTACATTATCTCCCCCTATGGCAGGGGCGGACCCAGGCATTGTTGTAAGGAAAAAGTAACTACTATTGACCACGAAATATCTCCTGATATCAAATGCACATGGCTTGAAAATGGCCTCAAAATGCCCTGATATTGGTAAAATAAAATAAAAAATTGGGGGGGGGTTCGGGACTTACAGCGCCCCTCCTCAAACCCCACAGCTGGGTGGGCTTGCTGTGCTCGCCATGTTCCCCCACCAACGAATTCTTAGACCCCTCTTCCCAGATTCCTGGATCCGCCCTTGTATGGTCTAGAACTCTTGATTATGGAGCCCGCAAGGGTTTATTAGAAAATTGTGAAGTATTTGGGATTCTTTAGGAGAGTGAAATTAATGAAAATATGTAACAACTTCAATTACTTGATACAACTTTATAGTTTGAGAAAGGGGGGGGGGGGCACTGCGCCGCGTTTGTCCCGAGTCTGTCGTGTACAGGACGTGTATTTATCACAGACTGGGCCCAGAGAGAGAGCCAGCCTTCTCAGTGGGGGGAAATACATACGTCCTGTCCAAGAGTAAATGGGAAAATTATGTAACTGGTAACAGTTAAACGTGTAAAACTGCAAATAACTGTGCAGTATATATGTGATTTTCTTTTTGTAATGTACTGTAGATCCTATGTTTTGGAGCCCTCGACTATATTTACAATGATAAATGTGGCCCAGAGCCTACAAAAGGCTAGGGACCACTGATCTAGATACTTCCGAGTCATTTGGATGCGATCGGTAAAACATTATTACCTGTAATACAATTAACAATTCAACCCCACTTAGATTTCTACTTGCTTGCAATAATGTAGGTCACTCATAATTACTTATCTGTAAAGGGACCTGGCTTTCCATCTGCGTCCCCAAGAGAGGTTAAATCCAAGTTGAAATTATGGAGGGGACCTTGGTGCTGAACTCCTAATTAGGGACAAGGTAGAACTTATTGTATAACCGAGAGCAAGGCTATAACTTGGTGATCTGTAACCTGTACTAGGTTTCAAAGCAACCACCGTTTCAGAAGTTTGAAGCTTTCTTTAACACTGGTTCACTAGGTGTAAACAGCACTTACACTATTAAATCAGACAGTAACTTGCCATAAGTGCATGCCAAGCCACCTGGCTTGGCATGCCTTCAGTGAGATAGCCAAAGAATTGATATTTTTCTCAGCTATAAAATGAGAGTTCAAACTTCAATCTAATATTTTAGCAAAAGGTAGCCGAATATCTCTGAACAACTTGATATATTGGTAAAGTTTATTTTCGCACAACGTGGGAATCTTAGTAATTTTCTCTGCAATCAACAATTTAGACAACTCTAAGACACTTCTTCAATAACGTTTCCCTCGCAAATTACCTAGACTAACCCCCCCCCCCCAGCATTTACAAGTCATTTGTGAGGAAAACGTCGTAAATGTAAAATGTCTAATTCTAAGATTCGCGTGTTGTCTTGATTTAAAATAAAGATATAATTGTAAACTTTCATTATACTGGCACAGTATAGTATTAGAAACACTGTAGTACTATGGAATTGAATATATGACAGACAGGCTGATGGAACCCAATTTTATATCCCCTAGGGCTTTGGGGAGTAGGGTATTAAAATAATTCTATAAATGTAATTAAGCACTAAACAAAATCATTTACATTCTTTCCTCCTCCGCATGAATTAACGACATTAAAAAGCACTAACCCTGACATTATGAGCATGTTGGTCTGCGAGGTTAGGATCATGGGGCACAGGTCCCCAGGACTCTGCAGTCTTCTCCGCATCCTCCAGGCGACCATTTACGTCTTCCACCGTCTTCTGCAGAACCCCGAGTTTCTGTAAATATAAAGAATATAATGTACATTACATTTCAATTTATACACTTATTCAAAATTAGTTTTGTTGTATTTTATCTACTTGGGTTTAAATCCATCGTAAACGTGCTGTTGGGGGTCCAGAAAAATAAAATAAATAAGGAAAATAAGTTTCAGGCAGACAAACCAACGATGTCAGCTACCTCGAGCTGACGGCCAACATCAACACCATTTATTTTCACAAGATATACAGTACTAGATTTTCCTCAAGTGCTGACCTGAAAGTCTACCATTTCATGGAATAAACTGTACGTACATGAAAAAAAAATACTGAACAAATGGGAATAGCCGAGTTCTATGTATGTCATATTTAAACTAAAAATTACTACGCATTAAACAGAAAACCTTGAAACCTGAGTTAAAACTGACATAATCGCACTCACGTGTGTTGCTTCCGTATACCTGTACTGTACAGTCACCTAAAAAAGTCCTGTCGCGAACTACGAACCCCGAGATTCAGACTCGTGAACCCGAAGCAGTAGACACTGACACATTATTCTGTCCATAAATGCTTAAGGGTTTCAAGAGTCTGAATCTCGGGGTTCATGGTTCGCGACAGGACTTTTTTGGGTGACTGTACAGGTACATATGTTCAAGGCGTACCAACACTACCTTTCATTTACACAGCTTATCAACATTCTATTATGCGATAAGCGGATGTCACTCCCAGAGTCAGAAACATGTGACGATCTGGATACCCAAATCCCGATGATTATTGTAGATAGTGTAGTTTAAAAGGTTAATTTAAACAATTTCCTTAGTGGTGCAAGTAGTGATTTTTTTAAAACAGACTAAACTTTAAACTTACTCGTCAAACCATGATATGCACAGCACCTTCTGCAGCAGCACAAGATCCTAGATTCTCCTATACCAGTTATGGCCTCGAAATAATACCTTAGGAACTATAATTTGTTAACTATTTTAACTCCGTGTAGGGACCTGGGCTAATCAATTATGCAATGCAAATATTGTATTGTAAAACCGAGCACTGATGTTAGTCTAAACTTTGTGTACTATACATACTTGACTATGTTTATTATCTTACACTTCATTATGAGAAACACGTTTTATAAAATCTAATTTTCTTGTTACAAACCCTGATACTTTACACCAGTGGGTTTGAACTTTGGTGACAATGAGAGATGTCAATTTCATTTAAATCTCTATGATAAAATATACGCATCGTCAAAAAATATAAAGGTATATATGACATCTACAGTTTTCTGAATACGCCCAATATACCTTTGGCTCCTGGAAATGTATCTCATTTTCCCCCGATGCTGCTGCTTCATGGAGGGTCCAGCACAGAACCTCTACTTTACACTAATGATTTATACTTCAGTTTGGTAGTTCGTCTCATTCGTTATTTTCAGCCATTCAACAATATTTAAATGGTGTTTGTATTGTCGTGGCAACTCTAAATATTTGTACTTCTGTCTTTTGATTTTCATAAGTTATGATACTAGGGCAACTTTTTGAGGTTTGATCATTATAAACCAACATTTCAAACAGTAAAATTAAAAAAAAAATCACTAACAGGTGTGCTGAAATGTATCATCTCCGATTATGTAACCAACAACTGAATATGCGCCTGTAGGGTTATATAAAGATTTTCCAGGATTAAACACATTTTCGAAATATCAACTTTAGTTCGAAGTAAATGAGATAAACCTAACATTACTGGTTTCTTAACTCAGTTATAAAACCTCTAAAGACATACCCCGGTAACTGATGGTGTTCTAATCCAGCAACCCAGAGGGGACAACATGGGTGATCACAGGGACCTCCTCTACATCCTGACGACCTTGAGGCAAGTCAGGCAACCTTACTTCCACGCCACCTGGCTCTCTTTCCTTCACACATGTGCCACCTAACCTACCTCACACACACAGGAAACAACCCAGCCTCTATAAACACATCCTATTCTAACACTCACGATGTCAACCAAATCCCGTACAGTATACTGAAAACCTAACAGTGTAAGAAATCCACTCAGCCAAGTCGACTCTGATTTACGGAGAGAAACAAAAGACCGTTTTCTCTTTATTTACAACACACCAATGTTACAATCACCCATTAAACAGAGAACAATGGGGAGGAGGGGAGGGGGTTCCAATATGGCAACTTATCTCTCGAATATCTGGAGTACGTCTAATGTTGTGGCGATACCCTTGTTGTTACTGTTTAAATGAACGAATAATAGCAACGACGAGACGTGTAAACAGCAGAAGCTTATGTGTAGTGTTAAATTATACCCAGTGATCGCGTGAGGATGATGGTGATCCGTGGACAAGGGTGTAGCACCTAGCGTGGGTGTATTAATTGTGACAAGTGTAGTGAGAGTGGGGAGCCTACGCCTGAGTGTGGGCGACATGTTGGCAGGCTGGGATGATTAAATGACCGGAACACCCCCCGCCCCCGCCCCCACACACACACGTAAACTCTTTGAATAAATTGAACCACTTGTCTTATTACTGCAAAAATAAGCTGTGAAGACGTCAGAAAATTCACACTACCACAAGAACCTATCCCAAATCGGTTGTTTTTGTTGATGCACCGCCTTCATTCAAGTTTTTAACAAACTAATACACAAATAAATGAAGTGACGATATTGGCTTTAGTAACGAGAAAAAATAAACAAGTTATAGATTAAAAGGAAACAATTCGGCCACTTATAGAAAAGGAGATAATTATAGCAATTTTAGAAGGTTAAATGAGGGACTGTAGTCGCCAACCCTCAGTCTTCACGATGGTACAGTACCTCGATTGACTGGCGATGGTGATGACTTGTGCTGCAGGTATATTACGCTTATTTGTTTTGGAATTAGGGGTCAAGATCGCCACAATTCGAGTAGCATTGGAGAGTCATATTGATAGTATTTTGTTATTGTTTTTTTGTCCCCACTACACAATCTGGGGCAGAGTGATTTTAACCAACCACTAGCCTTGCCATCTGTTTGTTGGTCCCATCTAGTTTTGTAAAAGGAGTTAACAAAGGTTATCCAAGGTTGAGGAATGAGATGTGATATATAAGAACAGTTAGCGAGGTAAGCCATGTTATATGCCGAAAAGCCTCCCTTATGTAATGTTAAATTGTCTTCCCTTCCTTTAACCACGTCTTTCTACTCCTTCGTCACTCTTACCACCTACCTACCTCCCTCCTTCCCTCTTCCCACTCCTCCATCACTTTTAAAATCCCCATCCCTCTTACCACCTCCCTCCGTCTTCACCAGGTCGTGTGTAAAAAGGTCAAGGCTTAGAGCAGGAGAGTGCCATCCTAGACCCGAGTCACAAACCTGCCGCCCACACGCCGCCTCCTGTTAAGGTGTAGCCATGGAACCCCGCCAGTTGCCTAGAGCAGCCACCACGAGGATGCTGCCCCGATATGCCCAAGATGAGATCACCCTCAAGTTAATCTTCCTATACCAAACTACTAGAGGGTTCAAGTAGTCCTAAATAATGTAACGAGGAACTGCTATGTTAAGGGTTATGAAGAGAAACATTTACAAGATGTGTTAGGAGGGTAGCATCGGCCCTTGTGTCCACCAGTGGAAAACAAACAATCCTCACATGTTTCCTCCCTGATACTGCTGCTGCTGCTGCTTCAACTCTTAACCCTAACACAATCTAAATCAAGAGACACTACCATAACCTTGTAAACGCCTCTTTATTTAAGACACATTATAAATCCAAGGTCAGTAATGTCAGGATATGCCCTTGATACAAAGCCCATTACTGGAGAACCAAACTGTACGACCTGTATTTACATATTTTGACATACTAAAGAACCTATATTCATGCATAAAATTTTGTATATTATCTTAAATCCCGCTAGAACAAAGACTCCAGCTTGATAACTTGAGAGGAGCAAATGGTGGGCGGTAATGAAGACGACCTTGCGAGGCTACCCCGGTACACCTGGTCAGCGAGGCCATACGGGTGGTTGACAGCGTTGCGTACTGGTGATGTAACTTTACTTGAAACTGTAAATTAGCCTGACTTACCAATATTAGTATATCCAAAATAAGAGAAAAACACAATATAATCAGCATGACAAAATATACTTAGCGATTAATTACGGCTAAATGGTTAATACAAGAAGCTGTAGTATAGATATCAAACCGCAATAAATCTTCATAATAAAAAACTTGAGTAGCATTTTGTTTATCTGGGGGGGGTCTTTAAATAAGGTCTTCTTGCGTGTGGTCACTGCATTGCTGGGTGTGGTGGTCTGCTTAGGAAATGTACTAGTGTGTGTGTGTGGGGCTCAGGCGTGGGGTGAGAGGACTGCATGCACGTGGGTGGGCGTATGTGTGTGTGTGCGTGCAAGGGGCGGCGACAGACTGCATGAGGCAAGCACCCACTCAGGCAGTGGTGGGCGTGGGTGGTTTAAATAAGAAGATCAAAACCACCATACCAACGTCACTACTTTGCTTCTTTCTACCATTCCTCTAGAGTTTCGTTATCAACCATCGTCAAACAGACTTTAAATAAGAAACAAAATGAATATCGACAATAAAGACAAATCCTAACCAGTAAGCTTATCAACATCATCGTTCCTTTAGGGTTTGCTGTGAATTTCGTAACATCTGTTCATGCAATCAGCAACTCTCATAAGGCTGCAATTCCCACAATAGAAAAATTCACTTTTCCTTTTGTTTCACACAAGCCATGAAAAATGCACTTGTAATCTAATAACACTGGAGAAAAAAAAATTGCCGAGTGTATGACCACATCTTAGTACAGCCCCAAGTTGTCTCAGATTGTTGTAATACCTGGAATGTGATACAATATACGATATAAACTGAGGTATCCCAACGTAGTATACGATATGATGAGAAGAAATCTGTCGACAACCACACCAGCGTGTTAGTAAACAACTGAAATACCTACCCATCAATAATATCGCCTACCTTCTTATTTCCTATGAGAGAACAATGGTATAATTTATGACAACAATAA